ATCCAGAAACTTTCTTTTTCTCCCTATCGCAAAAGTTGATTTCGAAACCTTTCGTCTCGTTTACTTGTTGATCGGTTTCTACATTGCGCTAAAATTTCATCATTCTCTTCTTCTATGTGCAACTTGATCATGACGTTTAAAAAAAAGGCAGAAGATAGTGAGCCATCTGTTGATTGATATAGCGTATAACAAACGAGCTGCTTTCCTATAAGACCAACCCCTTTCGACATGGGTCATCAGAACTCTATAAAAAACAAGAATTATCATGTATTTATTTCATCAGGACAAGTAAATACACGTTGTTTCGAAACATTTATTCTTTTGATCAAAGTAAAATGAAAGACAGTGAAATTTGAAGACTTACCAAATGAAGTACTAATACAATGCTTTGAGTTTCTTAATGCATCTGAAATTTTTCATTCATTCGATCAATTGAATTATCGATATTCTATACTTATTCGAAATATTCCATTACGTCAAAATTTTGAATCTATAAACAAGTCGACATTTGATCAATTTTATAAGAAAATGTTATGAAATCCAGACATGAAAAGTCAAATTTATTCATTATATCTATTGGACAAAGAGACAAATTTTCGAGTCGAAGTATTTCTTTCACTTTTTTCACTCGATCAATTTTCTCATCTTCGAGCATTAATGGTGGCTGAAATCCACAACGACAGTATCACTAAATTGGAGTCCATGTTATCATCATTATCTGAACTGTGCTATTTACATTTGCCTGATGGATGCTTGACAAGCAAAAGTAGGCCAGTTGTTCTACCAATATCTAAACTGCGAACATTATCAATCATAACAGATTCTCCTTTGATGATCATTCATGAATCTTCATCTATTAGAAATCTAACAATTTCTCGTTGTTCTTTGACCGACTTGCATCAATTATTCATATGCACCACTGGGTGAAAAATATTTAAATATTCAATATTTTTACTATCACTGTTCAACAAGCACAGAGGCATATGCTACCAATCGCTATGCTGTTCATCTAAAACAAATTATTATCGATCAATTTAGTTTAACATTGAAGAACTTTGAAATGCTTGTGCAACAAATACCAAATATAAAAAGTTTAACAACATCTGCATATAACAATGTAGCTATAATTGATGGTTGTCAATGGCAACAGTTAATAACATCTTCATTACTTCACTTACAGACTTTCAAGTTAAAATTTGGTTGCACACGTTATAATGACGTAAACAAAATTATACACGAGAAGTTTCAACATTTTTAGACTGATTTTTGGCATAAACAACATTATTGGTTTACTGAATATTCATTAAATCACGATTTAGCTATGATATATACAATATCTTATCAATTACACTACTGGTCATAAGTCCCTGGATATGCGATACTCGCTCATAACTTCAATAATTTTTCACGAAATTTTTACCAGAGATAGAACTTAAAAAACTGTGATCGCAAGCATCAATCCGAGCTCTATCGACTGATATAGTATGGAGTTATGATTCAAACATTAGTTTCACCTCTGTTTACTTATTAATCAATATTCACAGTTTTTATGAAAAACATTCGAGATACTAAAGGTCTTGTTTAATCTTTAGGTTGTTTCGTAAGTTGTTACAGGAATACGCAGTGGACATTTATTGCTCAATAAAGGCATCTCTGGAGAATAGTAGATTAATATTAATAAGCTAAGAAACAACTTAGAGATTAAACAAGTCTTCTAGCATCGCGATTGTTTTTCCATAAAAACTGTGAATATTGATTTACAAGTAAACAGAGGTGAAACTAATGTTTGAATCATAACTCCATACTATATCAGTCGATAGAGCTCGGGTTGATGCTTGCGATCACAGTTTTTTAAGCTCTATCTCTGGTAAAAATTTCTTAAAAAATTATTGAAGTTATGAGTGAGTATCGCACATCCAGGGACTTATGGCCAGTAGTGTATTTCAGAGTCCTCTTCATTTGAACATCGTTTCTATATATCTTGATTTTCAGTGTTCAAATTGAAGAAAAAGACTTATCACATACAGAGTAACAATGATATCAAGTGAACTCGGTAAACTGCAATTCATTTTAAAAAGTAATAGTGAAACCATATATTTTTTCAAGAATTTAAAAATGAAAATTGCAAACTTTACATTATATTTATCTACAAATTAAAATTAAGAAAAACCTTTGAACTTGAATTGAACTGCTGTTGAATTTACGTTTTATATTCGCACATGAGAAGATACAGCTCTTCTACTGTTTATTCTTCATCCAATATGACGAACCAGAGCTTCATGTAGGATGAAATGAGACGATAAAAATTCTCAACACATTTATTATTTCCATCATGACTACCAAATTTTACATCATTTCATTTTGTATTTTATGGTTTTCATACAAGTCGTTTGTCTCATAGTATAGAATATTTTAAAAATCTTTCATGAGATGAGATATATCTAGTATAATAATGTGTTATTATAATCTGATAGAGTATGCCTTCTTTACGCTGTCTTCGTCATTTTATGGCCAACAAGTATCGCTTAGATGGATTTTGATTTCAAGTATTCATGTGCTGCGCCATAATCATTCAAACACACAATCTGTTTGCTTCTTACTAATCGTTTGAATGTGCTTCGAAGACTGTGTGTATACAGCCAATTACTACTCAAAGAATCATTGAATTTGCTCACGATGAATACAAGACGTTCTTTTTTCGTGCAGAGCAAACACATAGTAAAATGAGAGAACTGTATTACCGTCTACTTTATATGAAACAGTCAGTGTTGTAAGTGTCAAACTTTCAAGTTTCATCTCACTGATTTAAGCTTCTATCAACGCAATATTTTTATCAGGTATAATAAGTTATAAGCAGTACGAGAAAAGAATCTATGTATAACAGAATTTTCCATTATTCCTTAAATAAATTATTTAAGTTAATGGACAATAATTGGAAGATATATAAGATAGTTTTAATAGCAGCAAGAAAATTCATTTCATTTCGTCTGACAATAATGATGACAAGAGAACTATTTAGTTCTGATTTTTTTTATGCAAAAATTGATTTTCAGAAAAACATATTAAATTGTGAAACAGAATGTTTTCTATATGCAGTAAAATTTTGTTTCTCCAACCTAAAATATCAAAAATGGACTTGGGTCAGATATACTTGCTTCTCATAAGAATTTTCAAAGTCAGTCTTAATGAAAATATTAACCAAATAGAAAGAACGTGTCCAATCAGGGATCTGACATTGGACAGATACTATTTCAGACAATTCTCATTTTGACTGGTTACAATAAGCCCAATCAAAGATTCACCTGAAGATTTTAGGCGAATTTCAGATTGGTCTACATCAATAGCCGATTGAAAGATTAATACAACGATTTCGAGTCAACATGAAACCTTTTCTTCAACAAAATAAAATATTTAATCTTGAGCAGATAACATGTAACATATCAACGAAGTTAGTAGCAAGGTATGTCTCTTTATTTCAGGGACACCCACATCCTTTTTTCCATTTATGTGCTTTTATGTTGTGCATACGGAGCTATAACAAAATACTGTTGATCATTGATCTTGCTATCTACAGCATCATTTACTCGATGCAATGTTTCAGCCATTAGATCTCCTGTTATTCCGTCATTTAGTGACGATTGAAAGAATGATTCTACTTTTAAATTTTTTTTTTCCTTAGAGTAGAGATAGAGAATGAAAATTCAGATTGAACCTGTTAGTTTACTATTTTTCAGTGTGTCAAAAAAATAAATGAAAATACTCGATATGACATTATTGATAAAATATAAGGCTGATTCGCATTTGTCATCGCTTTCTTCTACTATTGTTTTGAATCAGTTAGATCGTTCATTTTTCACACAGATTAGCGAAACATCCATCACACTAAATAGAAGTTATACTACAGGCGCCAAACAAACCAGTAGAGCATTACAAGTATATGTAAGGGTGATCTGATGTACTACTAGTGAACAAAATATCCACCGACTTTTTGTTATTCATAGATCCTGTTCGTATTGAAGTGTATTAGTGTCTGTAAATATAGTGAATTGTGCAAAAAGGAGAAGCGCTCTGTTAGCCAGGGAAGAGTAAAACGTTTCTTGATATCAACATACACTCATTATTATATTATATTGAGTACCACAAATATCATCAAAGTTTGTGTTCTAAATGTTCCACTCTCCAGGCGAACAACAAATAAAGTAAATTTTGGAATACAATATACCAAAGTTAACTGAACGTGAAAAGTGCCGGTAGAAATGTGCAAAGTTTCATTGTAGATGTATCAGGATCTTGAAGATCTTTGTTACACCACATGCCACACCGAAGTCCTATAGAATTCGAATAGAAAAAAAACCTCCTTTTTGGCGTTAGTAATGAGAAAACAGTGTATAGTGAATAGTACGTATCCCGAAGTTAAAATTTCTGACCACTCACTCCCTCATCGTCTCAAAAAAAGAGCCAAGAAATCAGTGTATAGGTCTTGCTAACTTCTGCAGTTACGTCAAAGAGAGAATACACTAGATTCCCATGAAGAAAAGTAGTGTGACGTTTAAACCGTGGCACTATAACAAAATTCTCAGATCCTGGCTTTTCTGAACTTGAAAGAAATTGTGTATGAAAGAAGAAATGTGTTCAATGAAGAGAAGGAAAGACAATAGAAACTTTTAAAAGGTACTATTGAATTTCACGTTTTTTGTGCAGTAAATTTTGAAGAACAAATAAGCAATTGTCAAGTGATAAATCAGATGAATAATATTCTTTATTCAGAATAATTCGCGTTTTTATTTGAATATTCACCAAAAAAAGAAACATTTCTAATCATACTATAGTTTGTACCTTAGACATTTACCCTGTACTCATTTAAATATCAATATACATCAATAATGCGAAGAAAATATGTAATTGTATTCATTTTCTTACTTTCAACAATATTTTTTGTTCAACTATCTCGTTTTCTTCCATATATTATACAAAAGCTGCTGATTATTGCAAATGAATCTATGAATAATAATACTCGATATAATTATGATAATCATATCAACATTGGTTTTAGTGACTTCGAATTTTTTCAATCGAAACAACATGAGATTGAGCTTGAACAAAAATATGATCTAACTGCCATAATAATTCATTGGGAACGATCAACAAGTGTTGTAAGAGCTGTAAATTATTTACTTGATTCTAATTTTTTCAAAGAAATTATTATTTGGAATAATAATCCAAACATAAATCTTAATAAAACTATCTTAAAAACAAATAATCATGCATTAGATTCTATTCGTATAATTAATTCAAAAGAAAATATCAAAGATCAAGCTAAATATCGTGCATGTACTGAAGCAAAAACTATTGCTTGCTTCTATGCTGATGATGATTGGGATACATCATTCTATCTAAAAAGTTTGATAGCTGATTTTCGAAGTGATCCATATGTGTTACATTCTGTTACCGATCCATACACATTCTATACGAATTTAATATGGACTTATTTCGATAATAAAATCGATTTACATACTGGTTTTTCATGGATTGGTTGTGGAAGTATTTTCTTACGTGAATATGCTCAACGACATCTTCAATATTTACAAATCTATTTGAAAAATAATCAGAGTAAGTGAATAGAATTATAGAAATAATCGAATATGATAATAGAATTTTTATGCATAGAATTGATTTATCTTAGTGATATATTTTTTTCTATTTGGCTTAATGATATTCCATCACAATTGAATATGAATATTCATAATCTACCTGGAAGTAATGTTGGTGGATCATTTTCGTCGACATCGAAGTTCTTGGAATATCAACATGAAAGTTCAGTTTTAGCTATTCGTATTCTAGAACATAATCTACGTCGAAATCAATCAAATAATACACATCATATAGGATTTTCACGTAAACAAAATCGTCGTTTTCCATATTGCGTCAAATCATCTAGTCTCAAAGATGAATTTATATTTTTTACTAATATTCTTCCAATTGATATTGATAGAATTCCATTTAATATTTCAAATGATTTTGAACGAGGTACACGAAAAAATCTACCAACACGAGCAAATGTTGGTTTTTTCTCATCTCATACTACTTTGAGAGCAGTCGATAACGATCCGAAAACTTGTTGGCGTTCTGGACGAAATGTACGTCAAGGAGAATTTTTTGCTATAGACTTTTTATACATTCGAACAAATCTATTATTTTCACTTATCATCGAACATACAATAGAATTACAAAAAAATCTCGATGTTAAGTTATCATTGGATGGTCTATGGTGGATAACTTATCGTGCATTAAAAGGAATTACAATACATAGTCAGAATTCAACATCAAATAAGCAGCAATACGTGATTATCTTTGATTCTACTAAATTTAATACTGGTTTTCATTCTTTTCGATATATTGCTTTTAATACAAGTAGAATGACTTCTTTAAATGAACTTAAGGTATGCGATGTCAAAATTATAACAAATACTACTATTACAACATTGTAGTGACATTGGATAGTTGTATTGTTAAGTTCAATTTATTTTTCATAACAAATATCTTTTTTTTTTACTTTAATACCTAGATATTTACATAGGTACACTGATAAATACCAATAAGGAATCGTTATATTCAGAAAACTTCAAGATTATTTTTGCCAGCTAACGATAAGAAGAAAGAGCAGATAAAAGTTCAAATTGTAAAATTTTTCACTGGAATAGAGAAAAATCTTAAACTACCTTCTTAATTTGATCAAATAGATCAGTGCTTTTGTTGCTGATACAGCATGATTTATAGCCTTATATTTATGAGAAAAATGTACATGAATCATATTTTCAATTGTTCTTAGTGTTTTCTTACTCATGATAATTATTTAAAAAAATGCTTGTCATTATAGCTCATGACGCGGAGGTCGATTGTCACACTCATATAAGAATGCACTTTTAAGAAAGAATGAAAATGAGACAAGACATATAGGGTATGAAAATCAAAATAATCGATACATTTGATGCGAAAAGAAACTTCTTTTGAACAGATTCATTTTGTTATGTCATTGAACAAGAAAATGAAATCTATGTTTAATTTGTTTATGTACCTGGAAAAAAACTAAACGACTCGTTTCATATTTTAGATTATGTTTATGGAGCAGATGCATATTTTATTATTTAGTATAGTCTTAAGGTTTAAATCTCGAAGGAAGAGTATTTCTCGAGAAAATTGCAACGGTGCCTCATTTGTTCTTGCATAGTTGGTTTTCAAAATCATTGTCATTTATCTCGTATAATTATGTTTGAGTACAATTTTCATTCTTTTATATTGATTACCTGTTAATTACACTGTTTTACAAATGAAAATATATTCGATATTTAATCACTACCACAAGATAGAGATAGAGCCATAAAAAAAAAGTTGAAGGAAGATTACAATAGATATTTATTCCAATTATATTAGTGTACTAGAAATATCTTTGTAGTTTCCTAAACGAATTTATGCTTATCAAAGTTGAAATTTTCTGAGTATCGTGACTAACAAAACATGTATCTGTACTATAAATTTCAGGTCAAATGAAAAACAACCATAATGTACATAATCGAAATTAGAAACTTGGTTATCCTACAATCAAATTCAAATTATAATAAGTATTAATCGATTAGATGAATTGTAGTCGATTAAAAAAAAACAATTTTAATCGATTATACATGGTGAAAATTCTCATAAAGCTAATTTCAGATCCATTTTTGATATTGTTTTACTGATTGATGAATAGTAAGAGGAAATAAAACAAAATATGAACTTTTTCTGAATAAAAAAGACGGAACAAATCTATGCTACCTTGTTGCAAATTAATTTTAATTATACACATCGAAGATTAGCGCTTTTTTTTTCAAGATTCGAATGCAATATGCCAAGTTTTTTATGAACTTTTGGATTGTTCATGTTGAGAAACTATAAAATTGTCATTCAGCTGAAAGTCTGGCAAAGAAAGTAAACCATGAAACTGCTATAAAAAGTATTTCGAATTGAGATATTTTAATTACATCAGAAACCGTTTAATCTTCTAAAACATAGTTTGATTCTGCGATTTAAAGAAAATAAAAGTAGCATTAATTATTCAGTTTTGAATGCGGTTATACCTAACCTACATCATTCTGAGGACTTCCTCTCTATAATATATTATTTTAAATGAACAATAGTATGGAAACAGACAGTCAAAACTTCTTTGACTTGGAGGGTATATCGAAAACTGATATGTCCGTTTGATTTGTTATCTAAATACAAACTATTCCCTCGTAGAAGCCTATTAGCTTGGATTTAACAGCTACTTGTTGATCGGACTCGAGTTCGAGTCTAGAATGGAGCTGGTATAGGTAACATAATTCGTTTCTGTACACACCTTACTGATATTCATCAACTCTTTTATAAAGGATTGGCATGATTAAAATTGATATTTGATGCCAATTAGAATATCAATGAACATACTAAGAAAAATCGGTGAAGAAATTATTTTTCCAATCGATTTAGAAATTCTAATCAAATTTTATTGAATAATTCAAGTAAAAGTAGAGAATTCATACACACATGAGATTTATACATCGTTTATTATTTTTTTACTGAGTTTCCAAACAAAAATAGTATTTTAGCCTGTTTCACTATGGCAAAATCACTATATATGGAAAACGAATCCTAGTGGTTGTATAGATGTGGTGCTTATAATGATCATCGATCTATTTATAGAAAGACAAAACTTTGAAAATATCCTATGAATTAACCAAAAGGAAACAACGTTCTTCCGTGCTCTACATAGTATAAGAAGTGCGAGAGTACTGTGAGATCACATGGACTACAAAATTTCGAGGGGCTATTGCAGTACCATTTTATAACTAAGAAAAATTTAAACCTAAATCCAAGAAGATAATAACGTAGTATCGTACTTAACATGCTTCCATTGTTTTCTCACTGTATTTTTGTACTCCATGGAATATGGAATATGCCGTTTTCCCTTGGAATCAGCCTCTGTAATCAAAATGTAGAGGATATATACAATTTCTACTTGTTCAAGAGACTACTAGATATTCTATAGAAAGTAACAACATGAGTGAAAAGAAATTCTAATTAGTCAATTGTCATGCTTTTTTTAGATGAACACACTATCTTTTCATACTGTTGGTTAAATTATTCGAACAGTTAAAATATGTCTCTTAATCAAATAGGTCGCTTTGGTTTGTGGATTGCGATACTTCTTCTTATTTTTTATGTTATATTATCAGATATCCTTATAAAAGACAACAAATACTATATCTCGGCACGAATACATCTATTTGACTATTATGGAACTAAACAAAGACTTGATAATTCAATCATATCTTCTATAAACAATACAAATCTACCAAAAATACTTATTGTATTAGGTACACGTCCTGAAGGAATCAAATGTGCTCCTTTGATTGCTGAATTAAAATCAGATTATTATCGTTCAAAATTTAAAGTTATTGTACTTAGTACTGGTCAACATCGACATATATTACAGCAAGCTTTGATTGCATTTCAACAAAAAGTTGATATCAATTTGGATTTGATGATGTACAATCAAAAATTATCTGAATTATTCAGTCGAGTATTTTCTGGAGTTACTAAACAAATCAATACTATTCGACCTAATCTATTGATAGTGCAAGGTGATACAACAACAGCACTTGCTTCTTCTTTAGCTGCTGCATATCATCATATTCCGGTCGCACATGTTGAAGCAGGTCTTCGTTCATTTAATCTATCAAATCCTTATCCAGAAGAGCTCAATCGTAAGATAATCGATTCTTTTGCAAAACTTATGTTTGCTCCGACGACATTTGCCAAAGAAGTACTACTTCGAGAAGGTGCCTGTGAGACAGATGTCTTTGTTACTGGCAATACTGGTGTTGATGCATTCTATGAATATCGCAAGCAAACAAATACAACGAAAAATGTTTCAATATTGAGAACTATTGATAATTTTAAGAAAAATTTTACGAATGGAATCAATTCTACTGTGATTCTTGTAACTATGCATCGACGAGAGAATTTCGAATATTTGTTTGATATGTGTCGTGCTGTAGCAACTATAGCGAAAGAACATGAAAAGAATGTACTGATTATTTTACCAATTCATCCCAACCCAAATGTAAGAGATGTTATATTAAAAACTTTAGACAGGTTACAAAATGTAAAAATTGTTGATTCAATATCTTATGATATATTTGGACATGTTTTATTACAGGCGGATATTGTTATGACTGATTCAGGTGGAATTCAAGAAGAAGCAGCTAGCATTGGAAAAACTGTTATATTGATGCGAATGACTACTGAAAGACCTGAAGGAATCTATCTTGGTGCAATTAAACAAATAGGTATCGTTTATGATGAAATTGTACAAGCAGTTAATCTAGAATTGAAGAATTTCAAATCGAAAAATCGAATATTACCAACAAATATTTTTGGTGATGGAACAGCATCGAAAAAAATTGCTGCTATCATAGATAATTACTTTAACGAGAAGCATAGGCCAAATTTGAAATGTACGACAAAATTTCGTCAAGATTCTATTGCTCAAATTGTTTATTCTTATTCAAATCTATCTTATAGAAATATATCATCACATACCGTTAGAAGAAACATCATGTATAATCTTACAAAAGTACGACCTGCTCTTACTCTCAATGACTTGCTCAAAATCCCTAGTCAATACAATATATCAAAGAAAAATGAAGAAATATTTGCAGTAACTGCTATCATTGGCATGTATAAACGTGAAGGATTAATTCGAAGATGGATCGAAGCACTTCTTTTACAAACACATGTACCAAAAGAGATATGGATTATTTATTTTGCTTCACCTATTGCACATAAACTCGAGCTCGAAATTGAAGAAATACGATCATTGTTTAGTAATGGATCAAATTATTGTAATGAATGGTGTACAAAGAGAATGTGCAATATAAACATTACTACTGATAATAAGACTATATTTAATTGTTTTGAGAAATGTGTGACCTTGTGTAGGAAATTACCGTCAATTCTATTCGTAGGCATGGGAGAAATGCAATTGAAATATTTCGGAAGATTTCAACTTGCTCTTCAGTGTCAAACAAAATACGTAGTTATTTTCGACGATGATTGTATACCGCAAGCACGCTATTTTGAAACTGCTTTATATACAATTAATACAGAACCATATCGAGGTATTTTAGGAACTAAAGGTACTCCTGCATCCGCTAATTTTTTCTATGGTCCTGTATCCAGGAGTAATACAATAATTGAAGCAGATGTAGTTGGTGGAAGTTGGTTTATGGAGAGTGAATGGGTGAAACTTATGTTTCGCGATAAGATGCATTCATGGAATACTGGTGAAGACTTTCATTTATGTGCAAACGCACGTAAATACGCTAATGTAAGAAGTTTTGTTATGCCAGTCGATAAAAATGATATTTCTACTCATTCTTTCTCAAAAGATTACCTAACCATTAGTGATAAAGGTGATACTACTGGACGAGTGATTGGAACTGCATCAAGTAGAACATATATCAAAGATCAATTATGGTTACGAGGTGATCGCTTAATGAATAACTACCAAAAATCGAAACCATCATTACTATTATATGCTGAAACACATGATGATGCAATGCTTTTATTATCATCTACACGACAACAAATGACTGATATTGGCGGTACGATTCATTTTGTCACTGCAAATATCATGAAAACTGATTTGAAAAATATTGAAATAAAAAAAATGGTTGAATCATTTCACGATTTCATGATTGGTCGTGATTATGATACAGACCCAACACCAATCACTGCTGCTGCCGAAGTACTTTATGCATTTGACATGGTTATGCAAGGTACACAAAGTACAGCAGTGATTATTTTAGGTTCTTCATCAACAGTAACCATGTTTGCATTGGTGTCGGCAGCATTCTTAAGAAATATTCCAATTGTCAACATTTATATAGAAAATAGTGTTATCGATCAAAGAACAGCAGAAGCTATCTTGACAATGTCTTCGGTTACTATTTCAACTTTCTCTAATCGAACCTTTAATAGCTCGGAATACCACCACCAGCTGAGTGATTTGTTAGTTCATCTGTATAAATAAAAATAAAAATAAAAAAGATGACAATGAGTATCGAAAAATGATATGGGCGTGGACGTCTGAGCATGTATCTTCCCTTGACCTACTTGTATATATCAACGCCTATATCCGCATTGATACCTCTCCACTCATATTCACATTTACATTCATACAGACGAATGTCTGTCATTTTCCCGAATGCAGTCAGAATTATTTTTCTTTTAATTATATAAAAATAACGCATTTAAAGCTTTGGACGTTGCAAATTAAGTCAAATAACCTATACTGATAGCAGTTTGAATGCTTCACTAAAAAGTAAAGAAATTCAATCCATCACAATAAGTGATTTATCGAGATTAAGAGCATACACATAGACAAAGATACACGATTTTTGATCTTTTGGTGAAAGAAGTTTGATTTGTAAATCTACCTTCAAACAATAGCTTCTGTATATCGCTACCAATATAACATCAAAAGTATTTCTAGAAAGGATGAAGTATATTTAAATCTCTTGTGCATATATTGTGAATATGAAGTGAGATTCGTATGGAAATTTTTGAGTCCCAATATTGCTTGAATGTTTATTATCCGAATAAGTTAATAGTTATGTCAGATAAAAATATTTGACTCAAAAGCAGTGAAAGAAACGTAGAGTATATTCTCAGTTAACAGTTGATATTTGAAAAAGGCGTTTGTTTGCGTCAAAATTTATAATATATGTTGGATCATGGTTGAGTTCCGTATTCGACTGATATGGTCGAGTCACCCTGTCTTTTATCATTTCATCTAATGTAGAACCGAAGTCTATATAACGATTGAATGGATTCTCGAGCCAAGCATGATGAATAAGAACTCTCGTCAATGGACCTACTGAAAATGCGAATAGCCGATTTCTATAACGTTTTGCTGTAGCTACGATTTTGTCAATTGCTTTTTCTCTAAACTGATGGTTTTCCCATAACAATGGTCCATCATTCGGATACTGTACTATTTCACAAGCCCATTCATTAAGTTCAAGTAATTTTTTTGAGCTAGTTCCATTGTTAATAATCAGAATAATTTTTTTCCGATGATCTCGAATTAGCGAACGGTGCAATAATTTTGTACTAGGATAGTTAGAATTGACGAATAAATTTGTGTACGTTAAATATTTTGGATGCTGGTAGATCATTGTGAGAAGTTCATGGAAAGGACAAATGTCCTTAGCATCATATATCCCATAGTACACTGGACTAAATGCATTATATTGATATTTAGGATAGCGTAATGCTTTTCTCAAATCAAGTCCTAATCTTGATTGACCACCAGGCCATGACCATGGATCAATAGATCGCACGGAAATTCCAAACATAAGCTTCATTTCTCCATCTCCTAACCGAATCAATGCCAGTCCGCTATTATTATTCATTAGATCGGGATATAATGGATTGAGTAAGGCTGCCATGGTATAAAAATGACTTCGAAATGTTCCTATCGTCCATGAACAGTTCGGTAAGCCAATTCTGTTCTCGACACACCAATCTAAAATAGAATCAGCACATGTAATATTGAAATGTTGTACACTTAAATTTGTTCCTGCATTCGCATATTTTCCCATGTAAAGGTTTAGCGCATTAGAAGATTGATTGAAGGATAAAATCATACAATACAGTCCAATAGCGATCACTACCAATAGCTTACAATTGTATTGGACCATTGACATTTTTCTGACAAAATATGATTTTTTTTCGTCTGGTAGATTAGATTGCTGCAAAATCTAGATTCATTGTAAAGAACTCTTGCTATTGCTTTTGATTTGAATATAATCCATGGGAAATTGACAAATGATGATTAAGTCTAAAACAAACATAGATTATAAGGCTGAAAATTTAAAGTGGTCCTTTTTAGAAATTTTTTGGTTTTCCAGGAGTTTTCAAATAGAGTTGGTGTTACTAAAATATTTCTTTATCCACTTCAAACATTATTTAACTTGATGAGATAATCAATCAGAAAGCTTTCAAATTCTTCATTGAAAAGACTCCACATCTGCTCATTTCATTTAATAACTCTCTGATAAAAGAATCAAATATTATTTTGATAATTCTTTTCTAAGTTGTATTTGATTCTTTTAATAGAGAATTATTAACTCTAGAATATTTTTTGTGGATTCAGTCAGATGCGCAACGCTGTTTTTTGTTTTCTGCTGCATCACTACCTAGTTTATTTCTTAGCGATTATTTTTCTAATCGCGAGCCTTCCAATGATTGTATGGAGACTATGTCAAGTTTTGCGAATAGGTCTTAAAAGAAAAAATTAGAGAGTTTATCCACACGAATCTCATTTCTAGAGTATATTTTCCATATGATTCGTTAATTAGTAGTGACCATAGTGATTTCAATATTTCTTTCATGTTTGTCTCAGAGATTTTGTTGCATTCGGATCGAAACACTCCCGTCATTGCTTCTAGCCATGTCGAGCATACTCAGTTTTTTTTTCTTAGAAATATCTTTCGTCCGAAAACGTCAAGAACTCTCTAAGTACGCTAAGTCTAACATTTTTCTGTTTTTTTTAGATAAAAAATGACAAATATAATAAAACTAAAGAGGATTCGAGAGGTTCTGATGACAAATAATATTTTAACATCATAATCCTTTATAAACTCTTCTCACAAGTGTCTTGTAAACTGTAAACGTTCACATAAGTCACGACTAGTACCAATATATTCATGTCTGAAAAAAATTATGATGAATGTTTTCGATTCATCCATATCTCACGTAAATCAGATAAAATAAATTTAGTTCTTCTTGTTGATTTATATGTGGACCCGACTGCACTCACAAAACATATCTAATGTAATAGAATGTAAATAGCATATGCGGATTAATATTTCAATCGACTATTGACCTAAGTCAATGTGAAATACGCCTAAAATTTTCAGATGGATCTTTGATTAGACTTCTTGTAGCTGATCAAAACGAAAACCGTCTGAAGTAATATCTGTCTAACGTTAGACTCCTGATTGTATGCTAACATTTATGTATATGTATTTTGGTACATAAAGAAAATGTCCTTATTTCTGGTTGATATTTTTATTGAGGCTCATTTTGAAGATCCTTACGAGAGACAAGTACAGTCAATTTTCGATATTTTAGGTTGGAGAAACAAAATTTTACTGTATATAGAAAACATTCTGTTTCACAATTTAATATGTTTTTCTAAAAATCAATTTTTGCATTAGAAAAACAGAACTAAATAGTTCTCTTGTCATCATTATTGTCAGACGAAATGAAATGAATTTTCTTGCTGCTGTTAAAACTATCTTATATATCTTTCAATTATTGCCCATTAACTCAAATAATTTATTTAAAGAATAATGGAAAATTCTGTTATACATAGATTCTTTTCTCGTACTGGTTATTGCTTATCATACCTGATAAAAATATTGAGCTGATAGAAGCTTAAATCAGTAAGATGAAACTTGAAAGATTGACATTTACAGCGTTGACAATTTCATATAAAGAAGATCGTAATACAGTTCTCTCATTTTACTATGCGTTTGCTCTGTACGAAAAAAAAATTGTCTTTCACTTATCGTGAGCAAATTCAATGATTCTTTGAGTAGTAATTGGCTGTATACACACAGTCTTCGAAGCACATTCAAACGATTAGTAGGAAGCAAACAGATTGTGTGTTTGAATGATTATGGCGCAGCACATGAATACTTAAAATCAAAATCCATCTAAGCGATGCTTATTGATCATGAAGTGATGACGACAACGTAAAGAGAGCATACTTTATCAGATTACAGCCATAGTGTATTACATTTCTATGCGTTCATTATACTATCTATTTGTGGTGATATAAAAGAATATTGATTCCTATTCTAATAGTGAATATATATGTCTGTGAGTTGCATGGTGGTTGTTCAGTTACTGTCAAGACAGGAGATACATGATACAAAGCTTCTTCTCTTTCTGCAGCTGCATGCCATTTTCTAAAAATGAGTTCATGAACTCATTTCATGTTCAATGACCATGATTCTAGCTTATATGTATTTTTTGAAAAAGTGTGACTATGAAGAAGATTGGAAGTTAATGATAGGCAATGACGAACACTACAATAGTAACATACCGTAGTTTTTATCAATTGCATTAAATCTTCTTAAGAACAGTAATGCCTAGAAAGACAAAGCCAGAGTTCATGTTCTCAAAAAAAAAAACTTTTGAGTACAGCTGAAGTATAAAGCACCTTTTACCCAGGAACAAAGGCGAAAATCCTATAGTCTACTGTACTTTGCTCCACTCCAAGGAGTCCTCACGGAAAGAGTATTTTGGGAAATATAAATCTTTCATCGATTTCTTGGAATTTGACACTTGTTTGTTCACTGAGAGAAGTTTTTATTCTAAAAGTCACGCTATGTGAAAAAAATTTTAGTACGTACTAAAATCACTTTTTACATAAAAATTATGGTTTACGAAAAATGCGAGTTTTTAACAACAGAATAGCGGATGGTGTAGAATAAATGGTAATGCAAGTAGTTTTCCAATATCTCAAGCTTTTGTTAGTATTTGATAACAAATCTTTTTTATTAGAAGAACCAAATTTGAATTCTCGAAACTATCAGACTTATTATTTCTTTTCATGACACTTGCTTATCAAATATATTGATTGTTCAAATGGTTTGATTTTTTTGTCTATTTTCACTTGTTCTGACTCGTCATCCTAAAACTTTCATTGAACTTGAATAGTCTAAATCACATGCGTATTTTTTATTCCAAACCCAATTATTAGTATCAACATATTAAAGAAAACCGCCGTCATAGCATGATGAAATAACACGATAGTATGCGAGTTTGTAATAGAGAACGAAATCGAATCAAATTTTCAATTTATTTGATTTGATTCACTTCAGACGAATCGTATTGAATCCAAATGGAGACTTTCTTCTTCGTTTAAATCTTTGGTTTGTACTCTTATGTTTAGTTATTCACCTATTATGAAAGACCAAATTGCTTTTGCTTATGGTAATGAAAATATATTTGTTTGATAGTCTGAAAAGATCAGACTGTATCGAACCAGCCAGTCTATCGGTAACTGGTCCGGTTTCATCTCTGCCAGACAGTGTTGCATAAGAATAGATGACGAACTACATTGAAACCGAACTCATCGGTGTTGTCCAGGTCGTCCTATAAAATACTCTTCAATCTGCAGATCAATAGCATAATAAATGGAGCTTCGATCCAGAGTGAAGATTAGAAAACAATTATTGAACGAGAGACAACTGCTCCGTATAGGCTTTGGCAAATAGTATCGCACCAATCACGTACATTTGTATTGCTTGCGCTTCCGATCGTCTCCGTCGCCATTAAACATTTGTAAAATATGTACATGTTCGACATTAGCTGTCTTATAAATGAAAGGCAAAGTAGGGAGCTAACTAAAAACCTAAACAAAATCAAAGTTTAGAATCGATCTAATTTTAAAGGCAAATACCATAAAATAATTAGAACATTGCCATTCTTTCATACTCGATGTAATTGTGTCATAGTGAACGACTTATTGAATCCGATGGCAAAATATATCTTCGTCTGTTGTACAGAACTTGATTTTGCTTGATTTCAGTTTTAGCCGAATCCATTGCTTATTTTCATTATTCAGTCGATTCAACCATGAACACACAATACTAACAACGACCGGTTCCGTCCATAAATCACACTATGTCGTTTTCAACTGACGTCTATGCAATGTTGTCGAGATTGATCATTCAAATTCTGGGAAATATAACCATGTGAAAGTCTATCTCTCATTGATAAGATGTAGATTTGAATCTGATTATTTCTCTTTAGGTGCATATAACTATTATCGATCTCTTTATAGGCCATCAAGTAGAACATATTCGTTCTTGTGGACACATCATGTGTTCCTACATAAATTCAGATCTGATTCAAAACATGAAAGATAAAGCTAACCAAAGCTATGATCAAATGGAGGCCATTGTGCTCAAATCAATTGATAAATAGCAATTCATCGCTTTCAAAGTGATCGATCAGATTAGTAAGAAACTTAATGCATTTTTCGCAAACGAATTCGAGAAGACAATTTTTAAAATCATATACTATCCATCTTTCCATCCAATGAATATTTCATTTTCATTGGAATTAAGTCAAGAAAGTTTTTCTTGACTATAAAGCACTATGTTCAATGAATCATTTCACAGCTCGATTAAATGTTGAATCATCAATACCTCTCTGATTTTCATTAGTTAGCCGGGAAGAAAATTTTATTCAGATGTTGATAGGATTGAGAAGGGAAACAAAGTAGATATTATACATGAACATTGCTGTTATTCACAGCTGTATTCTTTATCTGTATCGTTGTTCGATCATTCATGATAATAGCTTTACTAGACACATTTGTGTGAACCAACAAATTAGAACAATAACAAATTTCTCGAAATTCTGGCCGTTTCCATGCAATACAAGCCGATGTTGTACCGTATGCGTTCATCCGACTTATATGTCGCTTTTGAATATCGAATGTATTTCTTTTCGGATCGTGTGCGGCTGTCACTTCGAATTGACCTTGACCGGGTGTCGTTTCGAGCTGAATCTGATAGAATCTCGTTTCATCCAACGATTGTGATAAGTCGCTCTGGAATTTTGGTATTCGACCGTCTACATCATTTGCACCGACGAACTTTAAGACACGTTCGTTGACTTCGAACCGACTCGCTTTGATCACTCGAAGTAGAGAAAGTGTAGCACAGTCCTGTTGATGATCTGACACAAACTTGTTCAGGAAATCGACAACAGCTCGACCATACTGCTGAATGATCGACGTATTGATTAATATGTCATGCCAATCGAGGCACGCACACCAATGTTGATCAACATCGGCTTGTGCACAAGTTCGATTTTCGGGCACCAACTCAAATAAACTGAAAGAACGATTCGATTTTGATTCATAAGGAGTGCGTGCATGAAACTGGAAGAGATGTTGGAATGTTTCATGAAGATCGAATGGCGTCGTTAAACGATGTGAATTTAAACGTAAGTTTTTCATGATCGTCGGATATTGTGCTTGAAATTTGGGTGGCATTCGAATGGACATGAAAGGTAAACGTTCTTCCAATTTACCCTGATAAGTCCTTCGCAATGCTGAGAACCGAGCACCATGATCAGTCATTATGATGAGCATCGTGTCATCAAGATAACCATGTGCTTGCATCATTTGGAGAAAAGTTAAAAGTTCATTGTCAGCATATGGTAAACGATCGTTAGAATCGTGCGAATAATCGGAATGGAAAAGATATGAAAATTTCGGTTGATGAGGATACATATCGAAGAAATTACGAATCCAAGTGAACATCGCCTGAAGACGAGTGATCGAACCAAAACAAAGCTGTTTCAACGTATTGATGCGTTCGGCAAACAGATAGAACGGGCGACCGTAATGATCCACGGGTGGATCTCGAAAGCCTTTTAGACGATATTGAAATGTGCCAACGCTCTGCATATCTTCGGCCCATTGAGTCACATAACCATTATCTGTACGAAAAATAGAATATAAACGATCGAAAAACATTTAAGCTACTTGGCTTATCTATTATTTTATAGGATTTTTGCTCTAACGAAATTAACTATCCTCTGAGTTGTTGAAACGGCATTTCAATATATTCGACTTAAATGCTCAACGTCGATAACACTAGTTCACGATTCTTTATTCACTCAAAAAACAAAATTTCCTACGACTAGTCTCAGTATGCGTATCGAGAAGCCTACTTTAATAAGATCAGCGAACTATGTTATTGCTGAAGACATGTTTATGTCTTGGGTTTCAGACGAAAGCTTTTGCGGACAATTCTCTCACACTAAAATATCTTGATCGAAGTGTCGAATATCATTTAAACAACAGCATGATCTTCGCAGAAAGTTCATGAAATCTTTATGACTTTCATAAAGTTGAATCCGAAAAATTACGAAGACATACCCTAGAGAAAGTACTGAGTTCAGGGTACCCATGTACTGAGAAAGCTCTAGCAGGGTACCCAATATGGGTACTTTGAAAATTCTCAGTAATTTTACTGATGTATGTACTGTTTGGGGTACCCGTAAAAGTACATTCACTGAATAAGTACCTGCATGGATACACAAGTCTGTAACTTTACTGAGGAAATTTCGACAGGGTATCCTAAATTTTTCGCGTTCTGTGTGGCGACTATTCATTCACCGTTTTCTTTTTTACGAACGGCTCTATATAAACAACTCGATAAATCATAAGAAAATAATCAATTTTCATACTAGTTTTTTCTAAATTATTTCTTGACTATTTCTTAGTCGAGGAAATGCCGAGCTTGGTCGTAAATTAAGATCGGACTACCCTGAAGTGGTCTACGACCAACTCAAGTTGAGTCGGATCCCGACATTGTTCCTGCTAAGTTTTTGGAATTGAAAAAATTGAATTGAATAAAGTAAAAAAAAATCTAGTAAATTATCTCAAGAAAAACAAAAAAAAATTTTAAAAAGTCAAAGATCAGGTTCGATCCTGAACATACTGAAAATTTGGTAACAGGGTACTTAGAAATACTATACAATGGTACCCAATTCAGTACTTGATCAGTACCTTTAGGTACCCACTTACTGTGCATTTTCCAGCAGGGTACTTGCCAAAGTACCACTTAGGTACCTATAAGTACCTGCAAGTACTTTGGTACCCAAAAGTTCCTGTGACATACTGGTATCAGGGTACTTTTTTGGGTACCCTTAACTCAGTATATTCTCTAGGGTATACAGTTTTACCTTTCAATTGGTTCCAAATCCAAGGATACTGATCGACGGTTTCAGCTCCTGCATGTCCTCGTCTTGATTCCGGTAATTCTATTTCAGTATATCCTGTCAAAATAGGAAGAAGTGCTGCTGGTGTACCATCCCCAACAATATTGTATCCTATGAATCATCAAGTTCTACGAATGGATCTTCCTTGACAAGTCTTCGTAAAGAACTAACCTTTCATAACAACAGCACCGAGTTCTTTGATTAGAAACGAGTATGTTTTTGGCAAGCACCGCATGAAAGTCATACGGGACACCGAATCAAAACCAAACATCAAAATATTGTATCCGAGATGGGTTTTCACCATCGGGTTCTGTATACTTCTACAATAGAATATTACGTATTAAGAGAATCCGGGATACATATACTCACCTCACATGTAAAAGTGGATCAAACCTAATTCCCATATGAACGTTCGAATAGGAATTACCATCTTTTGCTTGACAATCAACCTGGAAGAAATCGGACATCAGGGGCATTTTGTCGACGGCCGGAAATAACCGAGCACCTTTCATTGTCGAAAAATCGTCTTTCGATCGGAGAATTGGGTAATATGCACATGTGATCGAACCATGTTTTTGTAGAGCTTGTTGTGACAGCCGAAAAGTGCCTAAATAAAAGTCCAAATGAGATTCAATGTGCTTCAGTCATCATCTATGTTGCCATTGATTGGCAACACTCAATAGCATATGTACGAAAACAATACATTATTAACTGACCGTTTTCGACATAGACCCAATTGTTATCTTTTTCACACTTAGGTTGCGATTCCTTTACCGGATGGAGATTTTTCCAAATCTCTGGATTGTCGATCGTCATTGTAGGATAGCGACAAGTCAAATGCGTTTTTTTGAAGTAGTCTTCGCGTAGAAGATGAAGATTGGACGTGGGTTTGATTTTCGCATCTTTGAGATCATATTCGTCGACAACAAACACTTCCATTGACTCGCGAGATCGCACAACAGAAACAAGAGAATATATCGAAATAAAAATTATCATCGAAACACTGGCACAAAGTGTCCGAGTAGCAATGCATCTGCATCCTTTACAGTAATTTCGACAGCGACGACGTATTTTCATAGTTGATTGATATGCAAAGAAAAAAGAAATGCACTTTCCACCAAAGTACAATCAAAGTAAGGCACAGTAATTAAGCGATCAGAGGTAGATGCAAATGGAAAGCAGATGAAGTTCACATGCAGCCAAAGTCTTCGTATGTATGTTGATAATGAAACGTTCAACACCAGAAAATATACTTTCATGAGAAATTTATAAAATTTTCCATATCAGAGTCTCAGAAAGTTTCAGTTGCAAAGAACAAGACGTTAAGATTTTATTTCGTTCAGAAATAATCACAATCTAAAGAAAAGTTTATCGATGTGTTTGGCGAATTATAACTTAGTCAATCAAAATAGATAGTCCTTCAAAGTTTATATTTTTTTCGATTACGAAAGCGTGATTCTTCGAAAAGAAATTACATTAAAGTGTAATATTGACAGTTTATTCCAGCATGACTCGTGACTTGAGTGATGAATAGAGAAAAGTATTTCATGTGAGGAAGATTGTTTTCCAATTTATGTTTACCTTATTATTTCTTTTAGATCTGAAAAGTATATGCTATGAAAAACAGTGAAATACAAATGAATCTATGATAAACTACACTGCTAAACAATTAATGGATCTGATTTCAATAATATTATGTGATACCAATGTCACGTTCTAAAAAAAATTTTTTGGCATGATATCATGAATTTCGAATACAATCACCTGATGCATCCTTTTTTTATGAATGTAGGATTCGTCAATAGTAAAAAGTGTTCGATTTGTGAAAACAACACTTTTGTGATCAATTTTTTGAAAAAAAAAACGTGAACCAACTCAAAAAAAATTCGATTGATCGGTCAAGAATTCTTAAATGAACCTGATCAGACTGAATCTGACCAGCTCTTTACTGTTAGGTTTGATTCAAAAAATATAATTTTTCAAAAGCAATTTTATTCTATATTCTTCTCATGGAGGAAAAAGCAAGACATCGTTACTCCGAAATATGGTAAATATCGTACTTCACTTGTGTTTCATTCTCAATTCTGAGTGCTGAAGCCTCACTTTTTACTCCTTAAGTTTTTCACAACTGTTTTCCAGTTTTAACACCAACGCTCCTCTAATTTTATGTCAGTCTAATGAAATCCTTTCACTCATTTATGTCAGCAGAGTTGTCTAAAGAATTCTTATCTGGATTATGTACATATGAATTACCTTTATCCAAATGAAAAAAAAAAGTGGTCTCAAGCCATATTCACTGTATACTAAAATTAAACCTTCTTTTTCTTCACGATTTGAATATTATGCAAATATCACTCTACTATTTTTCTGCGTGCTCTCTCTCATACACGAAATATTTGCTTATCTTAGTATGTACTGAAATATGAGATATAATGCATGCAAGCACGTTCTGTCTTGTAGAGTAATTAATGCGTGTACAGGAAAAAAAGCTCCATTGTGTATTCAATATTTGCCATGATTACGCGATCCTCAATGTCAGGCAGAGAGAGTGAGTGAAGTAAAACGTGATAGTGTAGGTGAGAGTATTGGAGAATATTTTCATGGAACTCTTTCTATGGATTATTTCAATAGAAACACATACAAACATAGCTAGTATCACACTCAGATCCATTGACACTAAAGAGAGACGTGCACATCTATATACTATGCTCACTAAGAGTTAAAGCGATTAATAACGATCACTAGAAAGGTGTTATCAAAAGATATTAAATCAAAGAAAGAAAAAATTATATCAGATCAGTGTAAAAGAAAGACAGAAAAGGAAAAAAGAAAGACGTGAAAATCGACATCTGTAGTATTTCATGAGGTTTTTATCAAAAAATCCACCAATGATACGCTAGAGTCGACTTTACCAATTTTTGATCTAAAAAAATATGAAACAAAAAAAAGACGAAATATCTCGTGCTTTTTAATATTAAGAAGGAAAATATATCGATTTTTGCAGCAAATATGCATTTCATTCTTCTCAAAAGATGGCCTGTCATTATTAGTTCAAATATGGCAATTTTTTTTCTATAAATTTGCGTTCACATGCAGTACAATATTTTGTTATAATTTAATTGAGAAAGAAACAACAGAAATTTTAGTCTTAAAATCTCACGAAAGCTTTCGAAATCTTGAAATCTGGTGAATATTTTATATTATACATATATCACATATTTTTAAAATGTTAAAAATTTTTATTGTTGCTTAACATAGTCAAGAAATATTGCGTAAGAAAACGAATCTTCAAATAATCTTTGAACATTGAATTAGTCTTGTTCAGAAGTTTATTTTTACTCAATAAAGTTACACCTAGGTAGGTTTGCACTCTTTCTGATATTTACCTTGTATAACTCAACTAATGCTCGCGTCAGAATTAAAGAAAGATATACAAGCTCAATAACTCGATAATAACAACAGCTAGCTATCTACCGTTTCCAGAAATCGAAAGAGGAACACTCCAAACATCTTTTAATCTGATTCCATAACAGACAAAGTTATTTAAAAAAAACTGTCATCTTCACAAACAATTCAAAAACATACATGAAAATTGTGTTCCGTTTTGATTGACACATGTGTGCCGGATAGAAGAACTTCAAACCTATCATTCAAGAGACGATTCAGATGATTATTTTCTCACACCTATATGTTGAGTAAACAAAATTGCATAGATATTCAGTAACATTCCATAAAGTACTAGTGTAAACTAATCAGACCGAACGAGCTGGACGGTAAACTGGAATCAATCAGTTTTTTGCTCTTTTGCATTCGATAACAGTTGAATCAATCTCTCGATCAATCATATCTACCTGCGAATCACTACAAAAAGAAGATAACGATCCTGTTTCATTCCTATAATACTTTTTTGAAACATGATTGTTAATGAGTATTGAAATAAACGGCAAGAAAATTGAATCCATCTCTCCTAAAAGATCCCGACAAATATGCCGATGCCCTTTTAATTTACTTAAAACCGATGATAGAGATGTCAATATATATCTCACGGCCTGATAATGTTTAAAGTAGCTCCATCGTGTTCAATATTCAGCTAAATTGAACTATGAACTTTTGAAGCTATAGCTTCATTAGACATGGAACAGTTCCTATTGAAAGAACTGGAACCAGATGTAATTGTCCAAAAACATGAAACAGTTCTGAGAACTGTGAGCGATAACAGACGTAAGCTTGATAGATGTATCAGAAAAGCAACACATAATAGTAGCATTCATTTATCAGAGCATGCTTTATTTGTCATCTAGCATGGGATGAATTTATATCAAGATATTTATCCTTTTATTATCTATTGCTATTCAAATTTTTAGACATCTGCTTAGTAAATTTGGTTTTGTGAACATTTTGACATATGGATAAAAACTGATAATGATTCAAGTAGATAAGTTTCGTTCCGAGTAGCTACCAAACAACTATTTACAATAACCTTTGTTACGTACTATATTTTTGTTTTATCATCTGTCTGTCATGCTACATCATAGAACACTTGAGTGTGTTTAATGACTACATATAATTAATTTTGACGTTAGCTAACCAATTATCACATATTCGTTTTTTAACAGCGTGAGAAAGAACATACATACACTTGAATCGAATGACTGGTTATCATATTCTTCTATGAGGAATATACAAAATATCAGCTAGTAATATTACCGTGAGTCATTTCATAATACAGGATATAACATAATTATAGGACCTCTTATCTATACATAAAAAAAAATGTTTCTCTCATTTCAGCATCGAATGACATTGATATGCTACCGATATGTGTATGTGAGACTATGCAAACACTAACTGCGAACCTTTTCTCTTACTTTGTTCTCTTTTTATTTGAAGAAAAAATTGAAGAAAGCTGCAAAATGATTGTAACATAATTTTAAATCGGTTCCTCTTTTTCTATTTTTTTTCATTCTATGTGAAGATTTAGCAAGAATATTTTACTTCAAAACCGCAAGATTTGAGACATTTTCTAAGCTTTCGTCATGTGATAACCATGTTCAGGCAAGAGATGATTATTTCGTGGTGCCTATTTATTTAATACTAAAGAAGTGAATATAGCTTGTCGAAATAACATTATTAGAATCGAAATCCAACTATACGAACCGACAAAGAAAAGGATTTGATTTGACAAGACTGGTAAATTCTTTTATTTTGTAAGAAATTTTTCAGAGAACTTTGAATTAGAAGTGCAATTCTAGCTCATTACCCATGTAAAAAAACCGGGAAAAATCAGATTTTAATCGATTTTTTCTGATTAAAAATCTGATTAAAATCCGATTAAAGTCGTGCCATTTAAATCGATTTTTAATCAGAAAAAAATCGATTAAAATCTGATTTTTTCCGGGATTTTTTTACATCGATATGTTCGAATTGATTTTCATTGATTATTAATTCCTAATGGATTTGTATCAATTCTGACATGGCATCCAATTTTAATCGGTTCTTACTTGACATCTGATTTTAACCGATTCTTACCTTGTATCTGATTTTAATATATTCTTACCTTCTATCTTGTTTTAATTGATTTGTGTTGGATAATCGATTTTAATCATTAGCATCGGAAATTAGCGCTTTTCTCGAGATTCGAACATGGAATCCTATTTTTTAATGATTTTTTTCGAGTGCTCATCTCGAAATTATCATAGGGCTTCAGCTCTACAAACATAGTAAATTTGGAATTGATATTTAAATTGTTTTGATTGAGATTGTGCAATTACATCTTCTAATCAGTTAAAATCGATTAGGAACGTAAATAATCAATTAAAATCGATTAGGAACATATACAATCGATTAAAATCTATTACGTTTTCCAGCTGCAGTTTTTTTCATTAATGTAGAGAAATAAGAGTAGAATTTAGTATTCAGACTAACAATCATTTATAATCCATCTTTATCAGTTCGCAAGCCAGCTTCTGTGAATCACACTCTAAACAAAAATCGGGAGAACATTTTCATTCTGCGTTTTCTTATGCTATAATATATTTCAAAATTAATAATATTGTTTGATTTGTCATCCCATGTAAAAAAAACGCGAAAAATCTGATTAAAATCGATTTTCCAAAAAAAATCGATTAAAAGTACCAATTTTTAATTAAATTCTAAATAATAATCGATTAAAATTGATTTTCTGTCAGAAAATCGATTTTAATGGATTTTCCCAGCAAAAAATCGATTTTAACCGATTATTATTTAGAATTTAATCAAAAATTGGTACTTTTAATCGATTTTTTTGAAAAATCGATTTTAATCAGACTTTTCGCGTTTTTTTTTACATGGGTAGCCAAATCTAATAGTATTATTGAAAAGAGCGCATCAAACTATACTTAAAACATGCAAAAGCTAATGCGAAGCATGACTTCTAGAAAAAGTTAATAGAATACACACAATGTGGACTGATGGCAACAACTAAATGAAAACAGAGATAAAGAAAATACTTTGTTGATCCCTCAGCAAAAACACCAGAGACGTGTAATTCTTGTGAAACTTTTTCTGTTTGTTTGATACAATTTTACGTAATAAGATGATTGTGAAACCGTAATGAAGACTCATGGACTGTTATATGTTTAGATTTATTTTTGTTGTTTCAATATTTTTTGAAAGACAAAAGATAGAATAGATAGTAAAGTAAGCGTTCAAACACTTCCTCGTGCATCGTATTTCATTCTGAAAAACGAACGTTGTATAGCTGAAACATTGAGAAAACTCTATACCGTTTTTCTGTTTAACATTTTTTTCTTATTTCATATTTTTCCTAATCTTATGAAAATACTAAAAACACGTTCTTTTAAAATAATTTTATTCTTTTTTGTGCTTTTGACGCTTTAAGTAACAAAAAGATCGATAGAGATTTATTTACTACAATAAAACCAGACGAAAGAGTGAGAAAAGAAAAGGGGTGCATGTTGGAAATTGCGTGTCACATATTAGAGCATAGTTTCGAAAATGGAAGTTTTGATATACAAAAAAACAATAAGAATTTGACATGAAATTTGTTGTTACAATAAAACTGTGTACGTGTACAATAAAACACGATCTCAGGATAGTCACATATTTATGTAAGATATGAAAAAGAAAACGTCAATAAATAGATTTTTAAAAAAACCTAATATAAATATAATTGAACCTTCGATATCAATTGATTATATTAGCATGTTAACTATCTCACTCACACAATTTAGTTTGTATATGATGATCATTTATTGTTAGGTAGACTCTAAAAATAACAGTATATACCAAAGTTATTGCGAAAATATCGATATCTGTATCCATCAAACTTGCTATTTCGATAAGACTAATGTTTCATTCTATGCTGCACATCTAAACTTATAAATTCCGAATGAGTAAAAAGCATTGACTATAATCTAAAGTTGTAACCGATCCGGTTCTGTAGATAATTTCTTGCCGACTGGTAGAAATTGTCCGAGTTTTTGCATATTTTCTTTTCAAAAAAGGATCACCAATGTGTTTTCCTTTCAGAAAACAGGCCATATTCACGGACGTCTATGGGATATTTCAATGAGAGAATATAAAACTTTTAGGGTTTAATATAATATTTTCTAGGTTCGATAATATATCTCAAAGTTTTAATAGAAAGTTTTCAGAAAATTTTACTAAATTCTGAAGACTTTTTAGATTTCATACAAAATCTTTTTTCTCATTTACAAAACTTTAAAAGTTTCAGAAAGAACGGTTTTTCTCGTGTGGCCAAGGTATAATGGATGAAAATCCATTAGTTGTTTATCAATCTTTCTTTGAAATTTGTTCATCTACGTAGTATAGTTCGTGTAGTGTTCATTAATTGTTAATTAGTTAGTCCTTTTTGAACTCAAACGGCAAACTCCTTCAAATCGATTTTTGAAGGAAGAAAATTTTTGTTTTAGAGTATACCCAAATAAAATCTTAGTATCATAGTCAATCGTTCTAATTTTTATTTCATATTAAAATCATGATTATATATATGGATAAAATTGTTTTGAGTACTGTTTATTCATAATCACTTGATATGTGTGTAAATTTTGCTTGTTATCATTAAATCCATATTAGAATATTACATGTAAGTTTTGGATCTCTGACAACGGTACATGTTGATGGTAAATGATCTTTTAACCATTGTATATAGTTATCTTTATTGTTATCAAAGTATTCAACATCATTATCTTCTAATGTTGATTGTTCAATATACTTTTCATCTTTACATCGAACATTTAATGCTCGAAGTTTGAGCATGTTCTCGACAAGAGTAATAATACTTTGACGATTATAAATCAAAATAGAAAGTTTTTCACATTGAATACCTAATGGTGAACGACTCAATGTAATACAATCTTCTTCATTAAAATAATGATTAATATTTCGTAAGTCGAGTTCACGAATGGATACATTTCTATATTTGAATAATGCTGTTTGCAAATATGTTGATTCATGTTGATTTATGGTTAGTCTAGTTAGATGAGGTGCTCGATCAAGTAATGCTTGTACTTGAGATTGAAAAGTATTAATATGAAATAGTATTGTAAGTGATTTCAATCGGTTGAAATTTGAAACAATTGACCAGAATTGATCATTTAAAGGAAGATTTATACAAAGATAATTAATTTTAGACAAACGAATATCTGATGGAATCGGTTGATCAAAAAATGTCGGAGAAATTATTTTACTTATACTATTATAAAAATCTTGTTCATCATTCACTAGACATGTTGATTTATAAGAGACGGGCAGATGTTCTTCATAGCAATTAGATAACGTATATAGATGAATCGTTCTATTAGATGTAAGACAACGGACAAACCATTGATGTTCATCGATCCAGAATGAAGATTGAAATGAATTAATTAACTCATCGACTCGTTGTTGTATATTTTGTCTCAAAGGCACTGTAACTTTCATTTTCAATTGAAAAATTTGAAGATTTGGCAAGTGATTACGAATAATTTCCTCCCATCGATTACCATCAACGATTTCAGACGATAAATCAACATTCAAACGATGTAAATTGGATGTATTTTGCAAGAAAATACCTATGTTCGAAGCATTACATGTAAAACAAGAACTTATATTCAAATTAGTCAAAGTTGGAAGAGGAGTAGGAGTATAATCATTATCGATAAAAGATAGCACAGATATTGAAAGACATTTAAGAGTAGGTGTATATTCAAATAATTGATTTATTTGATCCAATTTAACTTGAATTCTTTCTATAGATACATATTCAAGAGATAAGGAGTTTGTTGTTGGCGTACGAAACAAACATTGTCCTGTACTTCCAATACCAATCGTACAATGCCTAAGTTTTGGTAGACTCCAAATTTGATTAAGTATTAATTGAAAATCAACTTGTTCATCTTGATAACAATGAAAGAGACCTAAATGTGTAAGATTACCAAGATGATGACATTCTTCAAGAATTTTCATCAATGTTGGATATGAACGAAGATGAAATAATGAAAGTGATTGTAATTGAGTAAATTGTTCAAATGATGGAATATAAGAAAGAAATTGTTTAATTTGTGTTGGAGTTTCTTCATCATCAGTAAGATCTAAAGTAATAATATAAGCTGCCATTGATGATAGATACTGTTGACATATCATATCGAAATCACGTTTTGATACTGAATTGAATTTGAAAGAACAGCTTAAAAATCGATCATGAAGAAGAAAATTCAATCGTGAGTTGAGACCATAAAATGTACGAAGAAGTTCAACACCATTGAAATAAATAAATACATCCAATAGGATTTCATTAGGTAACAATTCAAAACTCATCGTGTCTTCTTACAGGTTTTTTTTCAACTCTTTAATACAGCATAGAATGTTGCGTTGTTTAAAAGAAGTGAAAAAAAAAACTAAAAATTCACTCTTTTACTATTAACATTACAGTCAGTTTTACTATTCTTTTCTTCCGATAAACTGATGCATGAGTCAACTGTGTATGTAATGAGTGGTTGGAAAAAAAAAGAAACATACATCATGAATAAAATGAAAAATATTTTTCATAATTAATAACCTAGGAGATATTTCATTCATGTTAACAATTCGACGAGTAAACCTTGATGAAGTCATATTGACTAACACGTTTTAATTATGTACGATATTCTAATGATAAGCATTACATTTTAAAGGTGTCGCCACATTGGCAGCCAGTTTTACTTCTTATCGTCTAAAAAAAAGGAAGAGAACACTGTTAAACAACAACGTTCTTGTGTTTCACTATTGCATCTCATAGACATTCATTAGTTCATTTTCGCTGATACCAATGTCATGAAAAGTGAAGTTTGTTAATTTGAATACTGCCGAATAAATTCACGATTGAAAATGAATACGCATCTAAATATAAGCAGTTCAGTAGGAAAAAAAGAATATAATTGTAAACAATTTAAATTGCACAACTACTACTGATCAGTTACTCCAATTATTATGAAGTTTTGATTTTCTACGTAAAAATCTTCGATTGGACAAAGCTAGATTAAAAACTCAAATCAGTAGATAAATTCGGTGTTGGAATAGTTAACCATAACGATATCGGTGAGAGGAGAGAGGTAAAATATGCACAGGTGTTATTAATATCATGCATATATTAAAATTGCAAAAAACCGGTAGATAATATTTATAATGCAATCAATGAATTTATCAATATATTATGCAAAGTAAAAGCCCGATTAATACTATCATATTGGTAGATTAGTTTCATGTTAAATATTGATGATTATCAAACAAGAGTTTTCAATGAAATATTTGTCTAGTGTAAATATCTCACTCGTATTCTTCAAAAGAGAAAACAAAAAAAGAATTTACTAAAACAATCAATATTTGTGAAAGTATAGTTGATAAAATTAAATATCTTTGTTACGACATTTTATTGATGTCATTCACATTCTAATCAATGTGCAACAGGTATCCGAACAATTAAATTACATTGTTTTTCCAAGTAGAATTACAACGAGAGAAACAATCTCTACAACCTAAATGATGTACTTCAAAGTATAGCTATATATGATATGGAATTTTTCAAGTAGTCATATTCTTCGATGAAAACTGATTGATTACGAATTGTAAAAAATGAGTTTTGGAAAAATCTTCTGAAATGCCTGAACATTTTATTACTATTTCCATTTGTAAGTATTATTAACATGAAGATATCTAAACACAAGATTAGAGCTTCTTGAAGTATTGATAAAGTTTTATCATACTAGCTTTATTTACAATAATCAACAGCGAGATTTTTTTTTTCCGAAGACATCTATATTATTAGACGTAGGTGGCAGATAGAGTACTCATATTACATCTATAGTTGAAATGGAAATCATATAGGAAATAAATGAGTAGATTTTTCATCATGACAAAGACTTATTCAGTGTCTTATCTATCACAAGAACGAAACTTATTCATAGCATTATGACTCTATTGTTGTGAGACAAACTGGAAGGATATATCTTTCATTTGTTCTGCTTCTTTTAGGCTGTACCATGTTTATCTCTACATATACTTCCTTATTTTTCATCAAATGAAAACACTACTGTGAGAAAACTATTGTTGAACAATTGTTTCAATGTCAAAGTCTGTTTGTTGAGACACAAAATTCGTTTTGTTTCACATATATCATTCGTTTGACCAAATTCAATGAATATATTTTATAAATATATTAGAGAAACGTTTACGAATAGATTCAGAAATATACAGACTATAGTACGATCAATTATAACCATCACAATGTCATATTTATTGTAATTTTCGATTCAATATGTAATAAAAATTAATACATACAATACAATCTTATATCATATAAGACGACTGTTTTAATTTTAATACAGAGAATAATCAATGAAAATAAATAATCTTTAGACAAAACTCTTCTTATTTTTCTTTATCTAGAGAAAATATATCTAATTTAAAAGATCATTTATTGATTACGAATGTTTATATATGGGTAATCAAATGGAAGGAAAAGTTTTCTTTATGTCTCATATATTGTGTCAGTCAAATTTTGCCATAATTGACATAATGAAATGTTAACATAGATTTCGTAAGTAATGTTTGTAGAAATGTCGATAGAATTCAATACAAATGAATTGATATAGTTAATAAATCACATAGAACATGTAGACATTCCAATTGATTATACATTGATTTCAAAACATCTTAAATAAACTCTTTGATAAATTTAATCATGAATATTTAACATTTTCAATAAGAAATAATTTCTAAACATGACATTGAGGATAGTTATTTTCATTTATCATCTTTTACTAATTCAACAAAACATGAAACAATATTCATAAGAAAATAAGAGTCATTTTTTTTTAAATTTTTTAATTAAAGAGAAAATTATGAACATACATATTGTTAAAACATAAAACAATACATAAACTATGTCTTGATCAATTAATTTCAAAAATCGATTTCAATTCAAAATTGAGTTCATAATATATCTTTTAATAGTAATTCAATTTTATCCAATCGAAGTGCAAATGTAGAAGTAGTATTTAGATCACTAGGCGCATTTCAATATAGTAAAAAAACAAAACTTGAATTTTCTTCAAAAGATTTTTGATTTTATGATAAATTAATGTTAATAAAACACATGCAGCTATACGATTATGAACAAAGTGCTTGATTTAATGAATGAAAGTTCTTTTTGATAATCAATATAGAGTGTAGATGTAGATAAGAGAAGCTACATAAATCATTCATCGACAACCAGTATATTCTCTTGTATATCTGTGTGCAGACTTTTGTTGATTTCTCATTTGTCTATGGTAAAGTTTCACAATAGAAAAATTTGAATAATTTCATTTTAGGTGAATGTCATATCTTCATAAGTGAATTATAACTTAACAGAACAGAGATTAGCATCATTATCATATCTTTTGTTGATTCACTGGATTTATTTGCTTAAAAACAAATATCGAATTTTTTACATATGAATTCAAGTGTATTGAATGACTTACGATCTAACAGTATAGAATTTCAATCAATGATGAGTTTTGAATCGACACTGTACCACTATTGATCATAAAAAATAATTTCCATTCGATTCTTTTTAGCTTTAACATTATTTTTCGTACAGTTTAATTTGCAATACCGCGTCAATGAGAGATGAGAACGAATACAGAGCAACAAAGAAAAAGTTCATGATACCTTGAGATTTATCCATTTATGATAGAAAAAAAAGGAAACGGCAAAACATCTTTTGCTTTCTTTAGTGACATGTAAATTCTCATTTTTTCTTGTTTGTCTAATCTATAGAAGTTGAAAAAACTCAATAACTTTACGATAGATTTATGAATTAAAATCATCGATATCTTTCAACATCAAACTCATATTGTATACTAGATAATAGTTTTGTTGAATATAAAATTGAACAAGCAAAACACACAGCGCTTTTTGAAATCATCGTTAATGGTTTCACATGCTTTGAAGCTTTTTTACAACATTTTATAAACATGATTCTCTGAGAAATATAAAATCAATTATGAAAAATAGAAACTTGCTTATGAAATAGTAAGTTACACGTACAGCTAGCCTCCAAAAAAAAACATTCTAGATCACAATTATATGTTTACATGAGAAAACTAAGTTTTGTCTTTTTTTTGTTACTGTTGAAGTATGTGCACATGCGTCATCAGTATGATCAACCTGAGAAACCAATGCAATTATAGCTTTTGATGCATATATGCATAGTTGTTAAACAAAACATAAGTAAGTCACATTTAACTGACTTTCTTTCTGTTATTGTAATAAATTGGTCATACATGCATACATAAAACACACGAGTGCCCACATTATTTTCTCTCTTTGAAGCTAATTTGCGTTACGAAAAAATACGATATATATCATAGTGAATCTTTACTCAAGAACCATTTTTAAATATTATTTTGTTGTTTTGGGCAATCATGTTACATCTATGAATAAAAATAGCTTTATTATGAATCTGTTACTGAATAACCACATAATGTTTTATCTCATAATACGAATCCTTTTGATAATAATTGCCTACATTGTTCACAAAAAATATAGAAAAAAAATTCAATTTACTTCAAATATTCCTGAATATGACCGTGCTATAATTATCGGAAGCAGCTTTGGAGAAATGATCAGTGCTGCTTATTTATCCAAACATTTCAAACGAATAACAATCATAGAATCAGTGGATGTGTTAAATGATACTTTAATAAATCCACACCCAATGAATTATTAGATTATCATTGTCACCTTGAAAGTCCAACATCAATAGGACGCTCAGGTCTTAGTCAAATCTACCAAATACACGTACTCAAAGCTGAAGTATTTAATGTATTACATGAATTATTTCCTCATTTAAAAGATAAATTGAAAAATGAATATAATGTTCGTCTATATTCATTAAAAAAGTGAAGCAATTCTTGTTGTTAATGGTGTTTTATTAAATCAAAATTTAACTGAAGATATGGAATGATTAGGTATTGATCGTTTTACATTAGAAATAGCTTTGAGAAGAGAATTGTGTTTATTATATGAAAATCAAATTGAATGAATATCTAATGCAAGAGCAATTCAACTAATTGTTGATCAATCAGTCAATATTGTTCAAGATGTAAAATATCGATTAAAACAACATGTTGATTCACAATTTAATTTAATTGTACCAACTGAACAAATACATTTTGGTTGTGGTTATATTTCATTTATAGGTGAAAGATTTAAAATAGGAAATCCATCATTAGATTCAATATCTATTCTTGGCTGCAATATTAATCCATCAGATAATAATACCGGATTTTATATAACTCCAATACGTACAATAAAAACCAATGATAAGAATTCTCTTGATAACTTTATCGACAATTGCAGTGTATTGTGTCAATTCAGAATATCCACCAAATGATTTCTATGAAAATCTATTAGAATGGGCAAAAGATCATCTAGATAATGAATTTAATTCAGTATTAAAATCAACAACAGTATGTAGTCCATGAATTCCATATCGTCGGACTATCGATGATCGAAAATATGTTGAATTGTTAGACAAAAAATGGTCTCATAATTATATATTATTAGGTAATGCAATGTGTGCATTTAATCCTCAACATGCACAGGGTATGACACATGCATTACGACATGCAAGTGAGTTAGGAAAGATGTTTGACGAACAGTGTCATAAATTAGAAGACATATCTTATATTTTTAGTCAACGTGTTTCAGCCATTATGGAAGAATGTTGGCTTGCTTCAACAATAAGTGATTGGAAAACACCAACATTAAAAATCATAAAAAATTGATAAAAATGGTGAAATTCGAACTTATCAACGAGGTGATGACTCTGATACAACTAAACATTCTGAACCACAAGTACTTTTGATGATTAGATTTTTGCAATGATACAATTATTGGTTTGTTTGATGTGCAGCTAAATCAGAACAATTATCTACAGATTTTGTACGTGTTATCAATCAACATAGCAGTCCATTCATATTGATGAAACTAACCACATTGATGCAAGTCTTTTGTATGACATTGAGTCATCGCCTTCGTTTATCTAAAAACTGATATATTCTCAACTCGAACACTTGCTTTGTTCTTATTCTGAACTTTTTGCATCTTATAAAACTTCAAATATTCCTTTTTTTTCGTATCATTTTAGGGTGATCTTTTTTTGTGTTCCAGTTTCATTTGCTCAATTTAATCATTTGTAAAAATAGTAAACATTTTACTTTAATTTTCAATTTACATCATATTACTAAAGGATGGTGCCGTAAAAGACGACAAAGCTGTTCATTCTTTTCCTACATGGCCAATTACTCATTGAGTGTACAAGGGAGAAATAGTTTCAAAATGTGGTCTCATTTGAAAGTATCCATTGAATCTACCAATAGGTGAAAATATGTGACATCAGCATTGAGTAGATCGATAAAAGAACTACGGGCATTCTCATTTACTCGGAAGAATTGTTAGTTTTCTTTCCAAATACATTTTTGTTGGCAAATAGTTGTAAAAAATGACGATAAAGATCAATCTTTCTCGATACTCTTCCTAGCTATCGTATCTTGAATACAAATATTCTTCTGAAAATTTAATGGTCATCTCGATATATTCAAAAGAATATTCATTTTTCAACGAATCAAGGAATATCGATCATGTTGCTCTAGAGACATTGCTGTTTTCAATTATTGATTTAGGCTTTGCGTACTAATTCTATATTTGGTTTATTCTCAATCGATTTCAATATTCGAGTGCGAACAATATCATTGTTGGTTTCTTTGACGTATGTGATTATGAATTTTCATCACTCACTGTCATATATATTTTTCTTATAGTCCAATAATGAGTAAATAATGACTTTATGAAGAAGTTCTTCAGTCAAATAAATGTTGATAAATGTATAAAAAGCAAACGGTAAAAGCAATTGCTATTTAGAAAATATGCTGGTTAATACATACACATTGAAGCGCTTTGGTATTTTGGCAATATAATCTCTTCATCCTTAAAGTCGTAAATATTTACTCGTCAAATCCTTGTTTGAATTATAGCTGCTGTAATGAAAAAGGTATTCTCTTTGTGCTAACATTTGATTAAAAGAAAAAGAAAAGTTTATCGAATTACCGATACAGTATAAAAACTAATGTGATTGCAATATTCTTTTGATAAAATTTTCATCGTAGGGATTTCACTATAACTCACACAAGCCATCAGTTTTTTTTTGTGTCAATGCATGAGTTCAAATCACTTAGTCTTTCCTTTCTGTTTCTATTTTCTGCAATCGGCGTTGCTGTCGTCGAATGCACAAAAAATGGTGTGTATATAATAAGAAATTTTTAGTACGCAAAGCGCTCACTATTAAAATAATATTATAATTTTTTTCTTTTTTTCCTGACGAACCAGTAACTTTGTAGTTAAGCTTCCAAAAGTATAAATTTAATTTTGGTATGAACCTTTGCTGGATACATGGATTCCAAATGAATTTTGAAATAGTCTAACTACTTAATATAGAAAGAGATATGTACAGTGATACAGTGATTCACTGGATTGCTTTGCCAATCAAGCTAATATATAGATATTAGTAACTATTCTACGTCTTAGGCGACATTTTATTACGTACTAGTTACAGTGTCGATAGAAAAAAAGTTGGAACGAAGCGCTTGCAAAACTCTCTTATAAGGTATTACTTGGTTAGTTCCGTTAGAGTCGTTAGTGAGAAAAAGAATAAACATATGGATAATACCGTAATACTAACTTTATGAGCTTTTGGTGAGGCTTCAACCAAACACATATTGTTTTCTTTACGTCAAGAGAACTCACTAACCACGCAGATTATAGCCTAGAAGTATAGAATCAATGATTCCTTATATGTAACAGAAAACTAGCCACTATATGAAGCCACGTTGAAACTATTATTGAAATATTACTGTCGACTTTAATTCTAACTAGATATCAACTAATTCTATATGAAGTCATCATCTAATAATAATTCTATTTTCATATTCCTACTAAGCTTCTACGAAGAGAAGAACTCTCGTTTACATGAATTGTTACTAGACATTAATGTTATTTTGGACTGTTGTAATTTTAAATTCTAGGCAGATTTAAGGCAGTACAATTTGATTTTCAGTAATTCCTAGTGTACATCCTGATGAACTATTTCTATATCGAAAAATTCTAGCTCTAGACGTAACTACTACTTCTGCAAACCGCATCAATAACTGTGAACCAGTAATCTATCTTTGGTTTCACAGTTAAATATTGCACTTTACTCTACACATAGCTCTCTTACGTTCAGTAAAGCATGTTTGTTTGCAAATCGAAATATAAAGTTTATAAAAGCTTTCCACAGGTTAAAACATTGGCTGTTTGTCTATCGCATGTAACAAATTCGAAATACGAGAAGAAGACATATGTTATTATGTAAAATAAGTGCTATCACAGCTCTGAAAAACATATTGAACTTTAAAAGTATTTCGAAGCATTGCATGTGCAGAACATTCACTCATTGAGCTACGTGAATACTAACGAAAGCTTAATGACTTAACCATCAAACATGTATGATTCATTGATTCTTCAGGTTGGCCCATGAGCAAGTCAAGCTTAGCTCAGACCAATTGGACTGGTACTTGGTATGGTCCGATGGAAGCATATCCAGAAGGTGAAATAGGTTCTGGCTGGAACGTGACACTAGAGATTGGGCCTTATCCGATTACTGATGAAAGTTGTACAACATGGCGAAATACATTCACCGAGAATGGTATTGTGCAAGGAATCAAGGACTATCGTTTCTGTCGAGGATATGGTGCTGAAGATCTGTATACAGACGAAGGTGGTGGCGTGACGATAGCTGCACAATGGATTGATGATGTGCTGGTATCACCGTTCAAATATAAGGGTGTGTTTGCTGTGCACAGGATGCAAATGCGTAACGATGTCCTTGAAGAAGAGACTTTGATTACTGATGACAATCAAGCTAGCCCAGAAGTTGTTGTCTCAATACGAGCACGTAGTATTCATCGTATAAAAATGAAAAAGATATCCGCTAAAGCGTAAAGCGACAGTCATATAGAAAAAAATTCTACGTAGTTGTCTAATCACAAATTTATTTTGAAGAATGAACTCATACTAACCACACTCATATCTACACCCTAGTGAGACCGGCAGAAAATATTTAACAAAAAAGTTACTAGTCCATCCATTTCTATGTAGATTTAATACAACATGATGTTTCTTTTGTATGATGGAATTCTCAGATGATTAGCTGATATTATCTTCTTGAGGCTTTTACTTTAAAATCTTGCTCATGTGTTTCTGTAGTCAGTCACAGTAAGCAATTAACGCTCTTTCTCTACAAAATGTACAAGAAACTTGGAAAATGCTATTGTCATCAAGTTTTGTCATCACTGTTGAATTGAATTGTAGATTGTTGGTTGAAAAATTTCTGTCTGTTCGTTGTCAAACTCCATAGACCAGAAAATTTTTGCCAGACCACCCATGATGGACTAGATATTGTATCAAGACGGACATAGCTTACTCCGGTCAGCACTGGATTATATATGATATTAATCCATTGACCTCAGTATGTATAACTATTTAAATTAGTAGCCACTTGTAATGAGCTTACAGAAGCACCAACGGAGACTTGATGTTGTGTAACGTTATTAGGAAGTTGAGCAACATTCAAACATATCACGGATATACTATAAAGGTCAGGAAGCCCAAGCTGGACATATTGAGGTGCTGATCCTCCTGAATTATAGTACGTGCTTTGAATACGATCAACAAGAGCATCGCCTTGAGCAGTTGGCGTGCCAGTACCGCTCCAGAAACTAGATGCTGTCACTGTAGGAAGGAGTGATAGAGGCACAACTAGAGAGAAAAAACCTAGTTATGACAACGTCTACTGAAAAATCAATGATCATTTCTATTTTTATATGTCTGTAAGACGTTACAAAGTTGCCTGAGAAAGTTATTTCATATAACTTCATTATTTATCCCATCTGATAAGCTAACTTGATGCTATATGGTAGATATCATACAAAATATAATTAGTCTATTTGTTTTGATAAATAATGAAATTCTACGAACACGTTTCGTCACTACTTGCTATTGCTGTACGGGAAAACATTCTTTCATGTACTGGCATAGAAACGAAAAGCAAATAAGCAACGAGCATTGATATGAATCTAACCGGTTATTTGGAATGAATGTGATCATTGTGACCATAAACAGGTGAGGAAAATATGTCTCCAAACCCTTCATAATACGGTTTCATTCCTGAATTATCAGTACAAGTTAATCGGCATTTGAAATACCTTGCTATCTGAGTCTTGTTCTGAAAGTATCCTTCAAGTATATAAATAATTCGCTATAAAATACTTTGCCACAGCCTTTCGAAGGAGACATTGCCAGACAAAAAGACAATTTTCTAACAATACAAGTCGGCACAACTCTACTCTTTTTATCTAAATTTAAACGAGTATTAAGATTTTTTTGAATCGGGCCTGTGAACGAACAGCATTGTTGATATTGACTTCAAGCTTTAGTCAATGAAATAGATTTTGATGGATGTATTTATTAATTTGCTGTATTAAAACGTGTTTGAACTCATATAATACTCTGAATTACCAATTGACTACGACAGATTACTCGAGTATGCATGTTGTACTAGTCATTGAGAGTTGGGTAATATCATCGTAAAAATGTTTATGAGATCATTTCAAACAGCTATCATTTACTCCCGCTTGAAGTCAAAGAGAAACGCTTCGACTCATGCTCATCTTCTTCTTCTCTCATAGATTTACTCTATTTAACTTATGCGCTGTCGTGGTGGTTGTCGTAGCTGTGGTAGTGGTAGTGGTAGTAACAGTTGTAGTGGTTGTCGTTGTAGTTGTCGTTGTGGTCGTCGTCGTGGTAGTTTTTGTAGTAGTTGCAGTTGTGGTTGTCGTCGTCGTCGTGGTAGTGCTAGTAGTACTAGTACTAGTTGTGCTAGTGCTAGTTGTGCTGGTGGTTGTGGTTACGGTAGTAGTGGTGGCCTTTGCTAGTGGAAAAGTTTTTAGTCTAATGCATATGGGATTAAAATGTGAAACAAGATTGATCTATGACTCGTAAATGGAGTTCTAGCTACATCGAACATAGCATATGACGCCAGAGAATTCTTTCCAATCGATCTGCAAGGTATGCGGCGATAGTAGGCTTTATTCATTTCTGTCTATCTCTCAGGCGTCTTTACATGTGTAGACTAATGGAAAAGACCATTGTTCACTTTTCTTGCTATATACTTCAATATTTCCTTATATCTATGTTTCATCAAAGCTACTATCAAGATTATCCTTGAGAACAATGCTTTAATCTGTAGAAACGAAAGCTATCACGGTAGAATTCGTACTAATTGTTGTCAACAACAGTAAACACGGTTCAAGAAATATGTTGTTTTAATGATGGTGATTCGCTCAGCCTACATATCAATAGAATCTTTATAAATTTAAATTTTTTAGTTTAGACTGTCGCATACCTTAGATTAAGAACTGAGCCCACATAGTCGCTTACCAATGTGGTACAAAAGCTCTTTAGTGGTTGAATACTAAACTATTAAAAAACAGTGTATTTTCAAACAAATTGCACTTAGAATACTGACACACTACTGCATATATATCATCAGAGTAATTACCATCGTTGTCTTACCTAATGTAAGTGCGACAGGAACGGCAATAGCAGTTCCAATGACCAACAAAGTTTCAACAGTTATTAACACTTTACAGAAAGTACTTGACCCACCACCCTTTCTACAACATCTCATGTGTGATACGACTATTGTGAAGAAAATAACTTACCGATGGATCTTCTTATCGCGTACTTCTATCAATGAGTCTAAATCAAGACTCACGACTGATTGTGGTTTGAACTTCTAACAAAAGAGAACAAATAAATAAATAAACTGTTATTGGAAAACTTACATTTCGAGGAAGATAAGCGGTTCCTAGTCCCGCTTGTGTGGTTGTTGGCATCGTTAAAATAACACAACAACAGTAACGTTTCTTTTTACGCTGTTTTTAAAACATTATTTCACTCTCATACATTCTTTCAACTGCTTCTTTAACTAATGGAATTTGATCATACAGTTTTGTTTTCATTCAATTTACAAGAAATACTTTTGAAAAAGGACATCGCATGCGCGCCAGACATTCGTGCGTTGACCATGCCGTAGAGCAGCTCTTGAAGTCGAATAAATATTTTCAACATGCATACAAGCAGTTGAGACAATGATGAAAAGGCGTAATAACGTATTAATTTTTGATACCATGGACGGTAGTCAGTGATGTTCGAATGTGTAAAAGAGACTTCACTTTGTGCCTCCTTTTTCTTCCGAAGTACTACAAATATGTTCTAGATGAAAATTCATTTAACGATACTATTTATTTTTTTGGACGTCGGATTTTTTCAGTTGCATATTTACTTTCCTTGAAAATGAAGTCAAAATATGAGGCATTCCATAAAAATGCTGGGATTTTCAATGGAGCGAATTATATAGAATCTTGTGTAAAACTAAGTCATTGTATCTCTTTTGTTTTGCGGACATTACCTATGTATTCTAATAGAACTTTTAAAAATAATTATTTCTGTGTTACTCGTTTTCGTTGAATTATAATCTTTTTTTTGCGTTTTATACGAAATGCCGGAGTTAAACATTTCAAAACGTGAAGATAAATCGTTCTGAATATTTTGTGTATTGTATGCTATTGTTTTTGCTATGTCGTTGCGTACTTTTATGGATGCTATATTAATCCTTAACTGAACACATACATGAGTGTGAGAAAATGTAATTGAAATGATTGTTACAATTCTGATTGGTCAATGTTGCTCATATTCCTTTTCCATTGTTTCACAAGGTTCAAATGATGGACTTTTAGATTGTTTTTATTCTCTTCATTTTGTCACTTTTTCATTTCCATTTCTCTCTATATTCAACAGACGCTTAGTAGCACACCTACTCTGAGCGGGAGGATGTGTCTATATTGATATCACCTTCCGCTGACCTTCCTTTCCTCTTTATATTGTTTCTATTCTTCTTTCACGTGTTCATCTCTCTTTATTGTTCTTTCTTGTACTCATGTTTCTCTCTCTTGTTCTCTCCTACATAAGCATATGTTATATGTGAAGTAGCTAAATAAGCATTATTAATAAAGGTGGCGGTATACTCTTAAAACTTGAACATGTCTGCCAACACTGGCATTTTTTTCAGATCCATCATTACGGCCATTAGCTCCAGAATTATCGTCTTTTCGAGGTCTACCATCTTCCCCACTTCCACCGTAAGTATTACATCCATGTGACCCATCTTGACCATGGCCAGCACTTCCTCCCATACTTCCATTGCCTCCTACAGTTTCAACAAGAATAACTCCCTTCGATTCACTCAATTGAAATTTATAATTGTCTCCCAATACTATAAACACAATTACTACCTTGACGATCAAACCTGCTGTAGTATTCACAACTTTCGGATGCACCATTAATACTACATTCACCATTTGAACCTGGCTGATCACTAATAGAAATTGTTTGATCTACACATTTTATCAAAACTCGCCTACTAATACTATTTACATCAAAGCGAAAATTTGATAATTCAGCTTACTTTACTATAGGCATCATGCCATGGCAATATAAACGCATAGTATAGTGTGTTTCTTCGGTTTTGTTAAGTAGAGAATGAAGTGTTGGTTACCCCTATAAATATATTTTTTCTAGAAGTAAAATTTTTCTTCGTATCTATATCGACATATTCCAAAGAATCAAGTTTTTCATTTGCTTTTCGTTTCTATATTTATTTACATTCCTTCAAAAGCATGCTTTTTTGTGTTTCTCATTTCTTAACGAACTTATTAGATTTCATATTGAAAAATCTTGAGAGTACGGATGCATGTATGGGTGAGATTTTATTATATGTTCTACATTCACATTCATTTTGATTTGATTAAAGATAGTAGTGTAAGAAGAAACAATGCTATACATAAACCCATGTATATTTTTTTCTAACAATATAGTAAATGATTCATTTTCTATCTTTAACTTCAGTATATTCAAATATTGACACTAAATCGATAGTTATATGAGATTAATCTTATTAAAAAGAAGAAGATCATATTTGTTTTTTTTTATCTTCTTTGATTGATTTATAAGCACACGGCTTTATTTTATGTAAGTCATAGATACAAATAGAACTCGTACTAATCGTACGATAGTCAACAAATGTCATACATTTTGCCATTTTTTCTTGCCGTTATCTTCCTAATTGTTGATGAGGGATGTTTGAATTGTCCCGATCGACAATGGATAGAATACTCTCTGAATGATTCTTACATTCCTGGTGCGGCTATCATCGTCGTCAATGGTACTCATACACTTTACGAAGAAGCTTTTGGTTATCAGTCTCTTTCACCACCACAGTTTATGGATGTAGAAAAGTCAATTTTCGCCATAGCTTCAATTTCGAAAACATTCATTGCTGTTGCTGTTATGCAACTTGTTGAGCAGGAATTGGTCGATCTTGACACAGACATCAACCAGTATTTATCGGAACCTCATCATCGTATTTTTCATCCAAACTATTCATCTCATTCGATTACTTTACGAAGATTACTCTCCCACTCGTCGTCAATTGCTGTCGATGAAAACATACAACTCAGCTTGTATCAAACGGGCGACACTGCTTTCGAACAGTCGACATTAGCTGAGACACTATTTACTTATGTAAATCCGAACACATCGAATTGGTTGCCAAAGCCACCGGGTACCGTAACATTTTATTCGAATGATGGTTCTTCTTTAGCTGGATTGGTTGTTGAACGAGTAGCAAACATGTCCTTCGATGAATATGTGAAAGAAAAAATAATGAAACCGCTTAATGTCGATATTAGTAAAGTAGGTGTTCGCTTAGCCGATTTTTCAAATAGAGAAGAACTCGTCAAACATTATGCTTATTCATTTAATGCATCTAACCTTAATGAATGGACACAAGGATTGCCACAATTGAATGTGACACAACTTTCAGTAAGCACATAAAAAAAACTATTAGAATTTATTTCTATATTTTCTTGGTAGAGCACTTTTCCGAGCTGGCTATACATTCCATTCTTCGGCTTCAGTGCCTATCCTGCTGGTCTGTTTCGCATGTCAGCTCGTTCTCTATCTATATTTCTTCAAATGTTTATGAATAATGGATCTGGTCTTCTCAATCCTAGATCTATTGCTGAAATGAAACTAGTAGTCGGTGGTGGTCTCATCCCATATTATGATCCCAATGGAATAGCTAGTTCGTCAGTTATACCACCACCGAGCTTTGGACTTAGTTGGATCTGGCAGACATTGAGCGATGGACGACGATACATTGGTCATGGTGGTACACTTCCTGGTGCAAGACATTGGATGTTACTTAATGAAAAGAACACTATTGGTGTTATTGTTCTTTCAAATGGAGATTCTAATGTACCAAGTGATAGATCGGCGCAATATTATAAGATATTAGAAAATATTCATCTAGCACTCTTTCAATGTTTCGAAGCTGAGTCAACCAAGTAGTCTGCATGTCGTAGAAGTGTAACATTCTTAGAACTTTCGACGTGCATATGTTTTTCTTTTCTTTCTTTTTTTGGATTTAGTGATTATCTACTCTAAAATGAAAATGATTTTCGTCAATAAAACTAATACCATTACACATAAATGCTTTTTACTTTCCTAAAAGAGGATGAAAAGAAATTTGGCATTTAATAAGTGACCTCAAAATCTCTCCAAAAATGTTAAAGATACTAAATTTTAAACTCACATTTTTCATTTGAGGTCGAAATTTGAGATTTATGACAGTGTACTAGTATATCACAATCTGCAACAATTGCGATCATAACCCAAGCTGATTACGGTTAGAATCATTGAACGATGAGGAATAAAGTTATGTTTCAGCGAAGCGAAAGGATAAATCATTTGCGCAGAATTGGTCCAAATGTTGACAGATTATATAGCATCTACATTAAGTAGCAGCATTGATTCAAATAAAATTCGACCAATTTGTAGACTAATCATGCTTTTTTCTGTAATGGGTGAAGATAGATGATACCGCATATGTTAACATTCGGACATTGAATCCATGAAACATTACAGTGATTAACGAGACAATATATGCACAAAAACAGATTAGGCTTACAAAGAAGATTCGTTTTTTGCTTTTCATGACAAAGCACATTTAATGAAATAAATATATTCTTCGGCTGTGGTATGATTTTGCGTAAGAGACTCTTCACACATTAACTCTGACAAACATTTTCCATTAGATGATGGCAATTGATTTCGTTGATTATGCAATTCCTACATGTGATATTGATTACGAAAGTTGTGACATTCTTTCTGAATTGTTTACGAATCCAAAAATCCGATTCGAGTTGTGCTTGCATATTATCAAATCGTTGCTTTTCATCGGTTAAATCTGAACAATCATATTCATCAATCGAGAAAATACGTATCCGACATACACATGCCATTCATACATCGATATTTATTATCGTCACATTGATTGAATTCCAGAGTTTATCACAATGCTTTTCATCGTAGTCGAACATACACTGCTGAATATATCGAATGACTGCATTGATTTTCGTTGTCGTTAGCAGTGCAAATATTCTTCAGCCTTTGCAATGCTGGATTTTCATTGATGCGATGTAGTATTCATCAAAATATCGTTGCGTACCAATGAAGCAAGGAAGCGTTGTCTTCTATCATAATAATAATCTCATGTCAAATGACTGCGCTGCTGAATGATCGGTACTAACTGACGACGACGGTGTAATAAGCTATTGTGTAAAATATAATCTTAGAATTCGATCGAAGTCAATGAGACAAACATAAATCACATTACTTCATACAAAATAAAGAGAGCACATAGCAGCAATCACAAACTAAATGATCAATCCAGAAAGATTTGATCTTCAAAAGCATTAAAATTCCTAAACGTGAACTGAACGTAAAGTCAATCTTGATAGGTTGAAGAGTGTTGATAAAGTGCCATTTCTATAGTCGAATAACCTTTCGTTTTTTAAAAAACCATGTTGATGACGATGATAACCACTATTATTGCACTTCTACTTTATATTCTTTGTCGTCTACTACATAAAAAAACGTGCCTTTATTTAGGAGAACTAAAGCAAATATCATATTTGTCTACTGACAGAAAGAATGGGTTCGGTTCTCTTATTTTTCATTTTACGAAATACTATTGTTTTAGTATATAGTAACATCGCCATGTCGAACGAAACAGGTATCAAGTATAAGACACATTTTTTTGTATGAAATTTCTCTAAATCAATTTTTCATAGTTCTATTTAATTTTGAACTTAAGAAAAAAAATTTGAGATTTCAATAAATGATTTGAATAGCTCTAAATGAAATTTCATATTTCTACTGATTAAAAAATTTTCTTATGAAAGAAATTTTTTCATAAGATCTGATAGTCTTGACTTTGAGCATTGTCGTTCAACAAACATATAACAAACATATGGTCTCAGACTATTCGTAAAACTATCTTCAAATATTCACAAGAAATTTGAATTTTAAAATGTGTTGTCTACAGTTCAAAATCAACAAGATTCATATATAATCGTCGATGGTATAAATTGGTTCTACTATTGGGATATAGAAACTCTTCGCTTTGGTCTTAATTATCAAGCACGATCGGATGATTTGTTTATTGTAACGTATCCCAAAAGTGGAACAACATGGATGAAAACAATTGTTTATACTCTATTGACAAATGGACAACCTTTTGATATTGATTGTAAGGATTTTTTTGAAAGGTTTCCTTATCTTGAATTAGATGATGAAAAAGCCATTATCAATATGCGACGGCCGGGTGCTTTGAGATCTCATTTACCAATGAATCGTATACCGTACAATTCGCAAGCAAAATATATTTGTGTGATTCGAAATCCAAAAGATGTTTGTGTGTCCTATTATACATTTTACAATACGTGGGCTGGTGTACATCGTTTGAATTTCGATGAATTCTTCGAACTTTTCATTCAAGGTCGTCTACCATTCAACGACTATTTTGAATGTCTTCGGCTAACTTGGGAACGACGTAATGATCCAAATGTGCTTCTTGTTTGTTACGAAGAGATGAAGAGTGACATACAAACTGTCATACAAAAAGTGAGTACACTCAAAAAAGTGAAAGTTTGAAATATTTGCAGATTTTTTTTCTAACACAAATTGGAAATAAGTTTTGGTTTTTTATGAACTAGAACATATACTCTTTTTGAAATAAAAAAAAAATCAAAATCTGAAACGGCTACTTATATTCTACACTAAGTTGTCACATAGTGCAAATAGTGAGTCAAAAGTGACGAATCTTCTTTAAATCTCAATTCGAAGTTGTATAAGTTTTTCATTATTCACAAATGCACTTGCACATACGAATATTAATGAAAAATTTTTTCTCGAAAAATAATTGTAGTTTGACCATTTTTAATTTGTCAATTAGCAAATTAAACTTTTCAAACTATTGTTAACTTATTCGTGACTAAAATTAAATTAATATTCAATTATGCAGTTCAATATATGTCAGTACTTTTTATTTGACTTATTCATGTTAACTAGTAGGCATTATTTTTTCAAGCACAATTGATAATGATTTTTGTGGCATAAAGTGAGAAAGGTTGCCTTGCCTCTTTTTTACAAGCCGAAACATGCATGTTGCTGTCTGTGATGGTCTATTACTGTTTGGAAGATTTTTTAATATGCTAGTCTTTGACCATTGTAAAACTTCGATAGACCTACCGATCTTTCTGTATTATAATCAAAATAACTCTATCATGTCTTAAATCTTAAATCTGCAGAGAAAACACTGAAAAATTTTCGTCTATACAAAACTTTTTTAAAAATCTGTAAGTTTATTTGATTTTTTAGAGAATTTCTTATTGTACAAGATGATCAAGTTTTTTCGTAAAGATAAACTTCATTTGCAAAATTCTACGTTCTGTTCATCTTAAACTCCGTGTGTCACACTGTTAGATAAGTATTTGATATAAATTGATTAAAATTGTGCTCTATATATAAACTGTTTATAGATTTAATTTCTTTTCACTTTAATACTTTGGAATCCAGCGCTAAATGTTGATTAAATTATTATACTAAATAGTGAAAATGTACATATAAATTGAAATAGAAAAAACGATCTACTCATGAATTTCTGAATAGATCGCTTCATTAGTGCATTTTATAGATTTTTTCAATCTTAATCTGGCTTGTTGACAAAACCGCACATACATATTAATCAATTTTCTAATATATTCTAGGTAGCTACTTTTATCAATATTCATTTGGCCGAAGAACTTCTTCAAAAAGTCATTCTTTACTCATCATTCAATTATATGAAAAATAAATATGATGATGAACGACGAAAATTCGAAATGATATATATCGAAGAAATCGAAGATGAAATTGTTCGCGCTCGAATGTTGAAGCAGTTTGATGGTGATCCCAATATGGAATTAGTACGCAAAGGACAAATCAACGATTGGAAAACATTTATGTCTCTAGAGCAAAGTGAACAAATCAAGAATAAATTTATCGAAACATGTCAAAAATGTGATGGGCTTGAAAGTTACTGGTCGAAATGGAATATTTTTTGTTGATTACTATTGGAAGATTTTGTTTGACAGGCACTAGTGAAATATAGTACCTAAATCATTTCGAATACAAGTAGTTTTCTGTCATTATTTCAATATAATAAAAAGAAATTAAACGTTGAAATCATAAATAAGCGTGATATATAAAGGTTAGGGTCTCTTCATCTTCAACCATACATTCATTCGATGCGAATTAGCATTCAATTATCCTGTTCTTTCATGTTCTTGTTCCATCATCGGATGAGCTACTTGAAAGTGATAGTTCTCTCTGTGTTCATCTTTACTCATCTACAGTCGAATAAGACTTTGAGTACCGCCTATAACCCATACAGAATATTGAAAGACGGATAGAACAATAATTGTCTGAACTAGAACAATATTTAAAAGAACGTGATATATTTATTGAGAGTCTTTCAAAGACAGGTGGATGTGAGTAAGAGAAAGTGAAGAGAAGAGAACCTCAGCACTACTTATTCACCTATTCTAGAAAAAGTAAACAAAGACATGATGTCACGAACTGTTTCCTGCTATTGAAGATTATCAATTTGGTGTGTTGATGTCATTACGTGCCGTATTTGATGATGAATGTCTATACATTCTACCTCTTATTTTTAACATTAACAAGAATTACATTTTTCGCCTTATACGAATTGTTGCTTTGCACAATAATTCAAAATTTCATGCTTACGTATTTTATAATGATGGAATAATGATCCCTATGCTATAGTCGCTATCTCATGTCTGATTTTTTCCTGTCATTTCTTTCTCTAAAAATAACATACGACTCACAGAGAGAAGTGACTACTTCTTCGCATCACGAATGACTTTTTTCTTTCTCTATAGGTGAAGCTAATTTTAATTCTTTTTCTTCAACTGAAATGTAGTCATCATGTACGACATTTTTAATAGTAGCTCTATGAGGGAATTTACGAAACATCTAATGTTGGATTTTTTAAAAAGTACTAAAGACCATTTTTTGAATAACTTTCCAACAGTTCAAGCTATAGAGGTCGAATTTTCACCGTTAGAAAGAGCAATGCGGGGGACCTCGCCCTGTATAAAATTCATTAGGTTCAATGGTCTTTTCGATAGTTGTTTTCAAACAGATATCTTTTTGGACGTCTATGTTCATAAGTTTTTGATGGCAAGTAAACATCAAATTAGACCAAAATGAAGCCTAAATCTTCCTGTATTTCTACTAAAATTTTCAAATCTTTGCTTATTGTTCTCGGGATTTTTTTCCTTAAGTTTTGATGTTAAAATATGCAAATTTTAGCTCAAATACAGAAAAATTTGAGCTTCATTTTGATCTAATTTGATATTTACTTGTCATCAAAAACTCATGAACATAGACGTCCAAAAAGATATCTGTCTGAAAACAACTATCGAAAAGGCCATTGAACCTAAGGAATTTTATACAGATCGACGTCCCCCGCATTGCTCTTTCTAACGGTGAAATCTGATCTCTATAGCTTGAGCTGTTGAAAAGTTATTCAAAAAGTAGTCGTTAGTACTTTAAAAAAAATCGGACATTAGCTGCTCGAACTTCGACCTTTACTAGCAAGTAAGGATGACTGATTTCGACGAACCTAAAATGCTAGTTTCTTTTTTCAGTACATGTCTTTACTTTTCATTACTTGTATTACTGAAGATGCTGATCTTCTGAAAAGTATTATGAATCGTTTTATATCTTTTCTCAAAGAATATCAGATGTCTATCTATCATCTGTTTCGATTTACTCATTAGTATCGTCGTGAGATTTGAAAGTGTTACGTTCGGCATAAAGAAGAAAGTCATCAAATTTGTATTTTGTGGAACCCACGTATATTTTTGAAGAAAATAGTGAGTCTAAGTTTTATGTTCAAGTTTTTGCGGCTTTCCCTCCCCTCTCCCCATTACAGACACATAGCAACGTAGGCCTCCATTAGAGACCTCAACAACCACGTATAAAAGGCTTCAAATTTATTTAACAATAAAAACCAGGAGTTGATCAGTATGAAGAATATGAATTCGACTGCTATACAATATTTTGATACTTGTATAATTGTTTGAAAAAAACTATTATACATTTTTTAGAGTTTTTAATAGTGTAATCGTTGACTGTTTTTAGAATTTAAACTTGTTTGTTAAAAATCAAGGATAAAGAATAGTAATATATATTCATCTGTCATAGCACTCATATAATCAACATGAGAGGCATGATTCGACCTTTTTATCCGTTTGAAAAGTCAACAATATCCCCATTTACGGATTGATTAACGTATATAGTAGTGTGGTGAGAGCTGTTAATGCATATAGACTGCATTAGTGTAATAGTCGTATTCATGAAATAATCGATGGTGAAAAAAACTAAAAATTTCAAATTACAAAAATGGTGTGGCTGTGGCTGTGGATATGGGCGCCATTGTGAATAGAATCAACACCCACACCCACACCCACCCACATCCTACACCCATTCCGTTGTCTCAAAAGTGACGATGCCACTTCTGCATCACCCATTAACATTGTGTAGTGCAGCAATTTTTTCTCATGCAAACAACACAAAAAAAAACGCTACAACCACATCGCTGTCTTCAAACGCACAAAAACTACAATAATTTCTCAAATTGTCAAGTAGTTTCGTATGAAAAAATTTCAAGGTGACAAAAAAGAAATTGTTTGGTGTCAAGTGCATAGTATGTTCATATGTTTTTTCTTCAAGAAGATCCAAGATGTCATGAGAACATTCATGCTCTGATTGAATACATAGTAGCATTCCGTGTCGATTTTGGAAATGAGTTTGGTAATGAATGGAGAGTGAAAAGAGAAAACGTCCTGCTAATTCAAGAAACGAGTGTAAGGTGAGCTGAATAACTAGAAAACATAATTAGTTAGCTTGAAACAAAACTGTATTTCGTTTATTAGATATTTATTAGATAGTCACAATTGTAAAGCCAATAAACTTTACAATACACACGACGAGATTATTTTCGATATTTTCGGAAAAGAGGATGTATGAACCGCTTCGAACCAGATCTTCCTGTCCTGGTTGACATATTTTTCACTTTCTTGTCTTCATCTTGATTAGGTCCTGCCAGAGCTGTTTTCAATAGTTGTCCTTGTTCTTCTTTTGTTGAGAAATAAAGTTGGTCCTTAAGAAAAAGCACTCAAATTATTCTATCTCACAACAAAGAATACAATACCTCATCGGTTACTAGTTCTGAAATGACTTTATATGAATAGCCTTGATCGATAAGAAAACTTTTTCGTTTAAGTAGATCGCGCATTTCAACGGTATCTTGTGACACGAGTGAATAAAAAAAAGCAATGTTATCTTCAGCGGTAGTGCCTGAAAAACAAAACAGTTCATTTTTGTCTCTCAATAGGAAAAGTGAAAACTACTTGTCTTCGCTCGCAAAATACGACCGAGTCTTTGTGCTTCTTGACGTCGTGAACGACCATGACTTGATATTTGAATGATCACATTTGCTTCAGGTAAATCGAACGATGTATCTCCTACCTATTTCCCATCGACTTACGTACAATTTTGACTTTATAAAAAAAATTAAAAAAATTACTCGAGAAATAAAAATAGTATTGATGCGTGGATTGCGTTGAAAATTTTGCAAAACTAAAATACGTTCACTTTGTGATACTTCTCCATAAATAATTGGTCTGCAATGAATAAATAAAATAAAAGACCTTAACAGAATAATAAATACAACATACTTGACAAGCTTTTGTGCATAGATTTGCAGTGCAAATAGATCATCGCAAAAAACAATAATCTTATCATTTCGTCGTTCATGATATTCAATTAAATATTGACAAGTTCGGAATTTATTTGGATTTAAAGCACTGAGTCTTCGTTTGATCACATCATTGGTAGCATTATTATATTCGAGCAAAAATTCAGGTGTCATTGAACATCGAACCTTAGAAAGAGATTTTGCTATGAAAAAATTTCGAATACGAATAGTTACTTCGCCACAATGAACTTTAGCAATGAATCCTAAATTTTGTAGTTCCATCCAATTGGCTTCGTACAATTTAGGTCCAATTAAAAAGTTAAGATCTGTAATTTTGTCGTCTTCACGAACGAGTGTCGCCGTAAGACCTAGTTTGACATGAGCATGAATGAAGTTCAATATTTTTCGAAAGCTTGCAGCCGGAGCTGTGTGCACTTCATCGAGCAACATCAAACCTATTGGATAGTGGATCTTAGAGACAGAAAAAAGGAATATGGTGTCACAAACCCCACTCATGACTTGTGAGTAGTTTCATAATTCTACTCGTTTCAATACTACGTCCATCTGTGGGTGCAATCATCTGATATGTACTGATGTAGATGCAGGCATCTAACGACGTCAAACAAAGTAACACAATGCTCTACTTAACATAACGAGAATGATGTACTGTTCTCACCAGTCGGTTCGGTCTTGTTCTCTGCTGTGAACAATCTTACTGTAGAATTATCTGCAGTCGACCATTTCTCGAACTGTTCTTTCCATTGTTGCACGGAAACATTGGAATTACACACTACGAGACAACTCTTGTTAATTTTACATGCGGCTACAACGCCAACTAATGATTTGCCAGCACCTGAAAAATGTACTTATGATGAAAAACATGAAAGAACTGAGTTCAGCAGTTACCACAAGGTAGCACAATGACACCAGATCGAGCTCGTTCTAACAAATACGCATTGAATGATCAATGACACGAAAACAAAAACAGCATGAATTTTACCCTCGCCAAACATTTTTCGTAAACTCTCTTCTTGATAAGGTCTCAAAATGGTATTTGGACGAAGTTCAATGTTGAGATTTTTCAAAACTGCATCATTGCGAAAGTCATATTCTTCAAGTAGTGGATAGTTCAACTCTTGACATCTTAATATTTGTAAAGTACCAAAACAATTGTGACAAAAAAGGACGAACAATTACTAACCGTTTTCTTAGCAGTTCAATTTTGTCTTGAATCACTTCAAATGAATCAGACATCGAAACTTCCAGATCTTCATCAAC